GAGAGAGAGAGAGAGAGAGAGAGAGAGAGGAGACGGGGGGGAGAAGGGGGGGGGGAGAAAAAGAGAAAGAGAGAACAGAATAAAAGGGAGGGGTAGGGTGAAATGGAACAGAATTTTTTTATAGCATTCGTATAGCGCATATCCCCGCTCAACAGCAGGTTCTATGCGCTTTACACTATATTATTACCCCAGCAGACCATAAAACACTACGAAACATTCTCAGCTTCCCGGGAAGCATACAATTCAAGAAGCTGATAAAGTGCTCAAACACTAACAAACTGACAAGATCTTTCGCTGTCTATAGCCGGGTACCCATTCCCACCTGGTTGAAGTGAGGAAAATTCGTGTAAAGTGCCTTTCCCAAGGACACAACGTCGGGCCCCTGACGGGATTCGAACCCACGACCTTACGGTTGCGAGTCCGAGAGCCTAACCACTAGGCCACTGACGCCAAAGAGCTCCTCCTGCTTTTAAACTGGCATTTACATTACCTCACTATGATTTAAGCAAACCCTCAAATCCAGTGAAAAGTTAGTAAAACAAATAAAAATCTAACCAATGCTTCCCTCCACCTACTCACCTGCTGCAGATTCTTATCCGCTAAAACCACCTTTCCTCCTCGGATGATGAACAGTGGCGGTGACGCCTGTACGTAATCATTTCTTGCTAGGCTCAATTTGACGTCATCAGAACCTACGCTGAACGTAAAGGCCAATGTCTCCGGAAGCCAGACAGCCTCGTCGTCTGCTGCAGCTCTCCTCGTTCTGGCGTGGAGCTGTTGGTGGAGTTGTGAGCCTAGCCTGATGTTGCCTGGTCAGAGGGCAGCGAGAGGAGAGCAGTCGTCTTAATAATAATAATATCGATGAGGATGATTATGATAGTAGTAATAATCGATGGCGTCCTGTGCTTGCAGCTTCAGCCCAACCTGCAATTCTTCACCTAAAATTTACTTCTCTAACTAAAATAAAAAAATAAAAAACAAAACATTTCACAATTTTTAAAGGGACAAACATAATAATGCATAGATCTACTGATCCATAAAAACAAAACAAAAAAACGGTACAACTTTTAAAAAATATTATCCTCCACACAGAAGTTTTGCGTTTCAAATTTGTACACAACCTTTGGAAGTCAAAAGGGGTTTGTCTAATATTCATTTTAGACAAATCCACAGAATAGCTTTGCTCCACATAGCGAGTAAAAAATAACAGTCCATTTTCAGCTATGTCCCCATTTGTTGTAGCAAAACGCATTAGGCCTACCACTAAAAACCCAAACGATTGCGTCATTTTGCAAACTACAGTAGTCTAACAACAGACCAAAATAAGTTTACAGATAGCTTTTCTCAAGTTTCCTTAGCCTGCTGAGATCATGGTTAGGATTAATAAAGAGTAGAGAGCATTTTGTATTGAACATTTCCTCACCACCAACTCATTTCGTAAGTTTCATACAAGATACGGAAATAATGTGAAAGTTCAAGTGCCCTTAAGGCCTTCTTTGATGTCAAGAGTGGAAATGGTCAATCAGTTAGGACATGTAGAGAATCAGAACTAAAAATTCCCAAACAAAACGACCACTTCAAGTCCAACACACACCGTTCACACCCCTTTAAACGTCACCATGGTGCAGAATTTAGTAGATGAGCCGCATGAGACGTGTGTTCGTAGACGATGTCTGCAGCAATGACTTTCCTACATCTCAACGGTCCGCATTCTCAAGGCAGATCTTCAGCTACAACTGTACCATGTTCCTGTTCGCGAAGCTATCAGAGGATAGCAATGTGTTTATGGTTCCTCGATCTTCTAACATTTGGTTCCTTGGCAAAGCCCAAAATTATTCACCTTTCAGGTTATACCAACTCAATAAATGCTGTCTATTTGGGCAACCTCACCCCCTCCTCTAATTGTCTCAAGAAACAAGTTGAACAGTGTGTGGCTTGATGGAGGGGATCCTCGTGTTTGGCCACCACACACAAATTACGAACGACGCGTTAAAACGTGCCGAGTCCAAACTAGGACATATAGACCATTGCTTCTCGGAATTCCAGGATTGAAAAAATAAATACATGTATTGTTTAACTCTGTAGGAGAAAAGAAATATTGTTTAAAGGTCACAGAGATGGAAAGATTCGATTTCAAAAAGAAAGGAAAGGAAAAAACTAACCAATCATTTCATGACTTTCCTTGCAAGATATTTTAATTTGGTGCATTTTGCATTTATAGAGGTGTGTTTTTTAAAGCCATTTCTGTTTTCGAAAAACAGTTTTTGAGTGTGAATTTTATGTAAAACTTTTGAATGAATTATATATCTATGCCATTCTAGTGCAAATTTGTGCTAGATATTTAGAAAAAAAAGTTGTAAAGTTGTTTTTTTTTTATCACCCTGTATTCCGATAAGAAAGTGAAACTCCACTAATACCCAAACGAAACTTCTAAAGCATAACAACTCGAAACGTGATCTGATCAGTGGGGGTGTCTACTAATGTTTACTACGTTAAAGCGTTGTCCAATCAGGCGCTGCTTCCGTCGGGAAGAATGAAATTTCATGATTCTGTCTTGTTCTTTAAACCCTGGCGAATAGTTCCTACAGGCTGGGGTCTTGACCTTGCATAGCTCAAGGCCGAAACAAACAAACTGATGGACCTATTAGGCTCGGAAGCTAAAGCTGCACCGTGTCACGTGCGCTTGACGGTTGATACTAGATTTGCACACCCTCGAGGCCTCAGGCCAAAGCGTACACTGAGCACACCCTCTTTCCACCACAACCTCCCCCCCCCCCCCCCCCCAACTCCTTTTTCTCTGGGATCTCTTTTCTTTGGTTTAAGCCGTGTTACTGTGATGATGTCATTGGGCTTAGCCTAGATTGTGTGTGTACACTTGGATTAAGTTTTGAGCTTGTTAACTGTGAGTGATCTCTTGCGTACCACCGGTACTGTGTTCCCTTGTGTTCTGTGTGCGGAGATCAGATATACAATAAAGCAAGCGCTGATGTGTTGTGTCAGTGAGTAGAGGTAGTTAAATTGGAATCCAATGCTTTTTCTTCAACGCAGCAATGCAACGCGAAGAATGCTTTTATTGGAAATTCGTTTTAGTTGCGTGAAGCCATGCGTGAAGCTAAGCTCACTGTCAAGAGAATGGGACCACGTGAAATAGGAAAATTGGGGCATCCTGTTATGGGTGGACAGCAATTAAAGAGATATTATCTTAATTATGAATGGTTAATCAGCGTTCCACCTAAAATTCATCACCAAATTTGCTTAACATTAAAACCGAAGTACACAAATCATGTGCATGAATAAACACAAATAGGTGAGCTCTTTTTTCTTTTTTCAAACCTGATATTGCCACTAACAAGATAATACGCATGTCACACATTTGAATCTATTTATATATTCACGTAGTTTTTATATGCGTGTTCAGTGTCTTTTCAGTCATGATGCATTCTTTATAATCTAAGTAATCTCAATTAATAATATTAGTTATAATAATAATAATATTAGTAGTAATAATAATAATAATAATAATAATAATAATAATAATAATAATAATAATAATAATAATAATAATAATAGAAGAAGAAGAAGAAGAAGAAGAAGAAGAAGAAGAAGAAGAAGAAGAAGAAGAAGAAGAAGAAGAAGGAGGAGGAGGAGGAGGAGGAGGAGGAGGAGGAGGAGGAGGAGGAGGAGGAGGAGGAGGAGGAGGAGGAGAAGGAGGAGGAGAAGAAGAAGAAGAAGAAGAAGAAGAAGAAGAAGAAGAAGAAGAAGAAGAAGATATGTCCTTACAAAGAGCTTATGCACATATTCACGCTTTACGACATGCTCCGTGCGGTTTACAATAATTGTAGGCCTATTATTAGTATCACCCAAGCAGATCCTTGTACACCCAGAGGCATCCATTATGTTTGTGGTCATTGGAGTTGTGATGAAATCCGGCGCCTCCACCCCCTCTCAAAAAAAAATTAGAAAGGAAAAAAATAATAAATACATTTTTTTTTTACTTAATAAAATGGAAGAGACCAGCATTTCGCTACCCTGTCTCCTGAGTACCTAGTTTTGAGAAAAATGTCCACGAGTTTTCGAATGCCACTCTTTGAATATCTTGATAATGACCCCGAATATTCTTACGATTATGATAGAGCAGATAGAACTCAGTAATTGTGACGCAGCGTGGTGGAATCTCGCTCTCGTCAATTTTTTGGCATGTAGGGTTATTGGTATCATCTTTAAGCGGGTTCACTTGTCTTTATTTGGATGAAAAAAATATCCAATTATCTTGAATACAAGTCGAGATATTTGCGAATGAAGGGGGTGGGGGTCACCTGTTTTCAGAGGTAAAATTAATTAGAAAATGGCCGCCAAAGATTAGTTTTTTTCTTTAGCTTAAGAGTCCGTGGTAACTGAAAATTTTTATTTTTTGTGCCTTTTATTAACGTTTTTAAGAAAATTCCACACAGAAATGAGTTCTTTAAAGGGCATGAAAGGTGTTGAGCCAAAAAACAAAAATTTTAAAAAAATTCACAAACCTGCGGAAAAATGCAATTTTTTTCACTTTGATTATTTTGACGGGAGCCTGATTCCACCACGCTGCCTCACATTGAGTTTCTGGTATCATAGTCTTCGTAACTTAGAATAGCCAAAGGAGTCTTAATAGAACTTGTAATCCCAAAAACTAGGACGGTTCTTCCTAGTTTTTGGTAATTCTAAGGTAGCGATTTGGGCTATTAAAAAAAAGATTGTTTCGTAATTTTATTTATTTTAAAAAATCTTTTTGGGGACTAAACATATTTATTCTATTTTAGAATACATCTCTGTGTGGATTATATTGAAAAACACAAAAAATAAGAAAATAAGGTAAAGGGTAAATTCGCAGTTTTCAAGGTCACTCTGGCAGTAGAAGTCACCAAACTTTGACATACATTTCTGGCTAATTTTACTTCTGAAACGTATTTCACGTGGAGTAGCGCCGGTAGACTATGGTTAGGCTACCGGACTCGTAATCGTCAGATTGCGGGTTCCGGGGCTCGAGCCTAAGCTCAGTCCGACGTTGTGTCCCTGGGAAAGGCATTTTACACGAATCTCCCATTTGGCTCGATCCTTTAAGAGACAGACATTAAATTTGGGGGTCCCGCCTTTTAAATGGTCTAACAGTGTTGACAGTTACAGGGGCGTTACCATGTATTTCCCCATTTCTTGTGGATCAAAGCCACCACAAAGCAGTGGAGATGTTGCCAAAGTGGTCACATCAGTCGCAGCAATAGAACCAACATAACGACACCATAATCACCGCCATAAGCATTTCATAGATTAGAGAAACTAAACGACTCTTCTCCCCCCCCCCCCCCCCCTTTTTGCCCCCTTCTCTGGGTCCTGACTCTTTCTGCATCTTTTCTACTGCTACTCTTTGGCTGTTTTGACAGCTGTCTTTCAGCCCCAGCCCTGATCTTGTAGTAAGCAAGATCAAACACCTACCCTTCTCAGATATGGATACAAAATCTTGGAGGTCCCATGTGCAAGTTGTACACATTGAAGAGCCTTGGTGGTCCAAAATCGAAAAGAGCAGGCTTTGGCTGCCACCCGAGCAAAATTTAGAATTAATTCCTACTAAACTGAAAACGTTTGAATTAATTTGTCCCGCGCGTTCAAATGCGAGCAAAAACAAAGAAAACAGCAAATTCCTCTAACAACTCACCAACACTCTCAGCTGAACGATGGAACATGCTCTCCCAGGGTTGATCACGTGACCACGCGACTGTCACAGTCAGGCTGCACGCTGACAAATAAACACATAATTCTACTATTGTGCAAATAGTCCTTGCCATAATGACAACTCAAGAGAGAGCTGTTGTTGTTTTTTTTCTTCTGAAGCAGTCCAGTTCTTAAAGAAGGGATGCGTATTTTATTTGAAGTCGTTCCAGGATATTCCGCGTTGTCTTTCTATATTATTTTGTTTTCATTGTTGGACAACACCAACTTCAACAACACCAACACAACACTAACCGTATTGAAGACTGCAAACACTGATAATGTCTTATTTTCCCCAACCAACTAATAGGATGCGTTATAACTGTATAACTAAGCATTTTCATTCTGAGACTTCCTGGGTTTTTTTTCATGTGTAGAACTATTTTATTTAAGTATACTTTACTCTATTTTATTTCATTCTATTTTGTTTTAACTTATTTTACTTTATTTTATTATATTTTATTTTATTTCATTTTTTTTTTTTTACATTTCACCGTTGCAGCATTCTGTTTGTGGACATTGTGGACAGGTTTAATCTTGTTATGCTATCACTGTGATGCACAGTGGGGATTTTGAGAAAAGGACTATGATCTGGACCTCACCAGACAACAGTGACGTATGACCTTAGCAGTTGCGAGCGCCGTAAAACCTTATACTACTACTACTACTAGAAGAGGATGAGGGTCTGCCATAGTTCAGCTAGTGACAACCTTGGCTGCAATTTAATGCTCTAATACTTGGAGTCTGAAGGCGACATTCCTCAAGTTGGTTTGTTTGGAGACCTTTCAAGACTCTTGACCCATTTCACTCGGAGACTGGTTTTTAGATCAAATTTGCAAGCCCCCTTCTCTTTAATTATCTTAGCCTACGTCCAGACCAAAAACTACTAACCAAGCCGAGACTCTGCTTACTACGAAATAAAAAATGAGTGCACATTTCATCGGCTCGCCAACAGCGCTGCCACGGCTCAACTCAGAACTTTTGGTGTGAACATAGCCTAATAATGTTGAATGGGATGAGTGAACATAGCCTAAAAATGTTGAATGGGACATGAACCCCTTGGTCGTGCCAGACAAGGCTCCAGGGCAAGATGTCTATATATTTATCCTGATTTATCAAACTGCTGATTTAGACGCATTAACTTGTATGTTTCATGTCCAAAAACATAACGACACCCACCTATTCAGATGAACTGAGACAAACGTTTTAATTTTTTTTTTTATTGCAGTCTCTTAATTAACCTGTGGTATCAATTGCATATGTTTATGACATATTTTATTGAAATTCCAATTGTACAGCAAGGAAAGGTATTTATAGCGTAGGTTTACTTTTAAAAAGAATTGTAACAGTTTTTATCTTTCACCTAGAACATTTTGCTTCCTGGGATTTGTTCATTTGAACAGCTTACGAACGATAATATTTAACGTGTTAGTTGTTATCTGAATTCCACCGGTTACCATTGCTCTTAAAATGTGGTAAAACCAAAGGCCCTTAAGCATTCATTGCACTACCTTATTTTAATCCTCTATATTTTATTTATTTCTCTTGTATTATGTTGTTGTTGTAAGTTAGACTTCTAAGTTTTCTTTGTTTCTCCTCTACTTCCTTTCAAAAACACGCTTTGTTGTATTTTAAAATTCCTTTCCTTTGAATTCACACTGTCTACAAACACACTTGATCAATGTCACAAGCACTTGTCTAGGTATACAGAGGACTCACAATTCAGAGAGGAAAAAAAAACAAGAAACAATCAACAAAATTGTTTTTCCTGTGCCATCTCTTCGTAGTACTCTCTGAACTGAAACTGAAGTTAAGTATTCTACTGTTACGAACGAACAACGCAGATAGGATGCACAGTATCCATACAATATTCATGTTATTATTCACGGAAAACGAATAGACCTATATTCTTTGAAGACGCTGTTACAAATGGATAGTATTGAGACGGATAAAGATAAGCTTTGAGAGACCGAGGGTAACTTTTGGCAAACAATACGATTCCTAAAAAACGCATTGCTGTAAAACTCCTACTCTTTGAGCACGGGAAGCTATTGGAAAGAAAAGATCCTAACCTAACGTTCTTGGTTACCACCTCTAGCAAAAACGCCATAAAAACCGCCAAGAGCAGTAGAAATATAACAGAAGATAGCAACATAGAGCTGCTTTTAAAAAGTTTTCGTGAGTATTTTATGGCACTTGCAACACAATTAGGTCACATAAGTGCCAAAGATTAGAGGTGTTACAAGAGAGTAAAAAATACGAAAAAGAAGGAGGAGAGATAAGAGAGAAATGTGAAAGGAAGGAAGCAGCAAACCACACCAGAGCACCCATTAACCACCCACATAGAACAGCATGAGTAGCAAACAGTTTGAGCAAATTGTTGCATTTTTCAAGACAAATCATTATAATATTGGGCTATTCTCTTGTATCAGAGAAAGTACAGCCGAGTAGAGTGTATCCTGTGAAAACAAGCATGTTTACGGTAGCCAATCTTCAAGTTCTTGGAGTATCGGATGTGTTGTTTCCTCCATGTCGGCCCTGTTGCCTGTCACTCTGTTCCGACCTCCGTCCTGTGAAGGGACGCCTGCACCTAGCCAGCAGATCGGTCGCAAACCTATTGTTTGTTTTTCAGCGAGCATCTTCTTTTCGAGAAAACTCCAAAACCGATATACGAACAGATCAAGTTTTTTTTTTCATTCCTCGTAGACAATAAGTGTTTGTTAATTAAATAAGAGGTTTATTTTGAGTTTTCTTAGCATCGAATGTGTGGTGTCTTTAACTTAACTTGTGACAACTACATTCCCGAAAAGTTCACGCTTTAAGGTCGTTCAACATTTATTATAAAACAACAAAAACAACAACAATATTTAACAAACAACAGCAGCAGCAATTACAAGACAGCAACAACAACAACAATAGCAATAACAAGACAACAACGACAGCAACAGCAACAACAACAACAAAAAGAGAAGCAAAATTGACCCTCCCACCCTACCCCCCCCCCCTACCCAAACCATTTCAGAACAGACATTACATGCAGAGTAGAAACATGAATTTTATTTTGCGGAAACCCTTTTAGCCGTCCGTCTTCTAAAAGTGTAAGTTTGTTTAACAGGCAGGACATAGAATCTCCAAAGTCCACAATAAATCCTATCGAATAATGCCAAGTAGGTGGAAAGTTCGGAGACACCCCGCTTAGAATTCGAACCAGGGTCATTCGTATCGATCGTCATCACGATTTTTTTAAATGTGCAATGTTCGTGCCCACAGAATCCAGTAAGAGGCAGACATCATTCAGCACAATATATAGATATCAATATGGAAAGGTACAAACAGCGAAACAATAGGGAGAAAAAAGAAAACAAATGAATGAAAAATTTTTAATATTTAGATCTGTACTTTTTTTTACTTTTGAAAATACTTGTACAATAAAACCCGAGAATACTACAAAATAGCGTTTTCGGTTACAAAAAATAATAGTAAGCCACGGCATAGAACCAGTCATGAGTCGTGTCACGCACGGCGAAATGGAATCAGGCGCTCGTCAATTTTGGAGCTTGAAGAGTTATTGTTGTCATCTTAAATCCTGTTAGTTTATTTTGTTTTTGATGAAAAATTACCATCTATCTTGAATAGAAGTAGAGATATTTTAGATTGAAACAAGTGGGATCACCTGTTGTGAAAGTTAAAATTGACGAGAAAATCTCCGCCAAAGTTTGGTGACTTCGAAAGGTAAAGTGTCCTTGGAAACTGCAAATTTACTTTTTTTGAGTGTGTGTTTCTTTAATCAATGTTTTTCAGTAAAGCCAACGCAGAAATGTGTTTTTAACAGTATATTAAAGGTGCTTGACCCTCACAACGAATACAGAAAATAATTGCCCAAGACGTCAAAAAAATGTCGGTTTCTTTGATTCAAATTATCCGAACGAGCGCCTGATTTCACCACGATGCTACACATTTACATCAAATGTGTTTAAATCAGTTTCGCACAACATCACAACATCACAACATCCTTGACTCTCAGCGGCAAAAGAAGATGAAAAAGTGAGGAAAGGTACACAAGAACATACCAATACAGATAACTTAACATGTACGCGTCTCTGGTCGACCCCCCCCCCCCCCCCTCTCTCTCTCTCTTTCTCCCCAAGAAGTTAAAATTGGAATAGCGATAATATTAAAATATACAACAAATATAAAATACAAACCAAAAAAAAAAAATCTAAAAAAAACCAACCGAAAAGGACCCAAAGACAAATAGCGTCCTTTCTGTGTTTATCCGGGATAACTTGTCTTGCTCAAAGACACACACACACAGCCAGGTGATCACCTACATTCTGTGTCGCTGACGTTGGTTTGGTTATATTGTTTGGAAGCCAGAGCTCCATAAAAAAGCACTTAACCAAAAATTGTCAAATACATTTTTTTGGGCAATGTCTTTATCCATGGTATCGGCTGCATTAGCTCACGAAACATTTTCAGTCTAATTTCAAACTCTAAAAGTTGATAAATAAATAAACAAACAAACAAATTTTTTAAAACCCAACAAATCATGAAAAAGGTACAATTGCTTTTTAAAAAATGAAACAGTTTTTTCCCCTCCTAGTTTAAAAAATAATTAATTAACAGCTTGCCAACAATAATTGCTAAGAAACAAAAGTCACGTTATCTTCATCTTCAAATTATTATAACGAAATATCGCCTTTGTGGCCATCTATCAGAACCCCCCCCCCCCTCCACCTTTGCGCCCCCAAATTTCCGGACGATAAGGCAAAGGGGATAATGATGTGAGTTTGATCTGTCTGACCGATGTCTGGAGATCGAATCTGAGTTACTTTCGAATTGTTTGTCTGTCCTTTCAGGTGCATATTGGTACATTTTTGTATCTCTCTTAGAAATATGTCGCGCTGGAGAACTTATGGTCCCTTACAGCGACTTACAGTGTGTGCAGTGGGGCTTTAAGTTAAGGGCCAAAATAAAAACCAAAACCATCCTCCAAATAATTAAACGTATTTACATTTGGCTTAACTTCAAACGAGGCTAGGCGGTTAACCCAATGATAATGGGCTCCTAGTGATATAACAGAAGTAAATCTCCCACCTGACCGCCACATAACCTGATGCGAGAACAGGATTATGCCTGGACCAGATCTCATGATTGGGTCTACAGAGTAGGGTTACCTTGCATGAACTTTCCCCTCCCATAGCTCTCCCCATTAGGTACAAGCAAGAGGAGAGGTTAGCAGGGGGGCTGTCAGAGACGGAATAGATACCTCTCTCTCGTTTGTTTCCGTTTATTACATGTAAGCGTTTGCCAAATGGACGAAAAAAGGTGTGCCTCAGTGCATGATCTTTTAGAGATTTTGTAATCAAAGTAGCACCTGATGTTGCTATTTATTGGGTGCACAAAATCCACTAACCCCATCCTAAATTTACAGTATGGCGAATATCGTCATTCAATGGATGAAATACGTGCAGATGAAAAACAAGGCCTGAAACTTCTCGTTTTTTACGTCGAACCAAAATATTTGGAACAAGAGGAGAACCAATTTCCGAAAATCATTGTTTTATCATCATACAAAGTAAAGACATTTTACCTACAATTCTTCCATTAAGTCTTAAACATTGTGCATCAAATTTAGTTCTAACGAGGCGTGAAAAATGAATCTAGTACTGCCGAAAATATCTCACCCCAAAATTGTTTGGCGTTTGCACGGTGTAAAGGCGAGGCGAGGTTAGTGAGTCTACTCTTGCGCCAACAACGCATTTCATGTAGACAAATTCACCTCTCACCAAATTAATGCGAGAAAGAGACTTGTTAGGTGATAGCAGAGGCTGGTGAGGGGTAAATGACTCGACTCTGTCGGTATGTTTATGTGTCAGGAAAGGACTAGGGTTGGGGTGGTGGCTGCTAGCCTATTGATTGTACAACTCACTAATAATTAATCGCTGTCACGGTGCTCAATTTTGATTGCAGCCCAATCCAGACTATGCAACAGGAAGTTGCGCAAATCTTTCAGTGTTTACCACTTTACTGCGTGGCTCGGACCGGTTTGGGCTCTCTGGCAGGATTAAAGAGTCGGTGTGGTTGTGAAGGGGTTAATATTTAATTTTGTCAATGGTGATTTGCCATTCTGCAGGTTGCCCTTTCTAATACAATCACACAGATGCTCGTACAGGCACACCGTCTCTCTCTATCTCTCTCTCTCTCTCTCTCTCTCTCTCTCTCTCTCTCTCTCTCTCTCTCTCTCTCTCTCTCTCTTTCTCACACACACACACACACACACACACACACACACACACACACACACACACACATACACACACACAAACATACACTCATACATACAAGCATGCATACATACAAACACATACATTTTCTTTAAAAAATTCTCATTAAATACGTTTATTTTATCTTCCCTCTTGTATCGTTAGAAGTTGAGGAGAGGTGCAGTGTTCTTTCAAAGACAAGGTGGGTTGGTTTCTGTTGTTAATATTGATATTATACATTCTTCAGTAGGACCTGTTTAACGCCATCCAGGTATTTATTGTCAGCAGTCTTTGCTTTACCTTGGCAAGAGCTTTTCTCTTGTTTTGAGCTTAGGTTAATTAATAATTTTATAACTGGAACAAAAAGTCGAGTGACGCACGTATCATAATACAAAGTTGTGTCTCCTCACAGACTCTCCAAGTTCTTGTTAAGTTGCGTGGCCCTTCTTGTCGGAGGGGTGAACGACTTGCATAAACTTTTTGAAAAAACACGTTCATCGGTCGCTTTAGGTAACTTTGCAACACACTTGATTTGCTAGCATGCTTAGGTACACTTTGGTTTAATAAATTCGTTTTACAACATAATACCAATCATTTTATGAAGGATCAAAAGCATTAAGATTTCTGCTATTTTGTAGTCATGCATGTGAAACATTAGTTTCCTTTTTTTTTTCGAAACAATTTTGAAGAATGTATTTTTATTTTTTTTCGTTTATGAGAGTGACAGATTACATATTTGCACCCTGCACCCCTTTTGTAAAGCTTGAGATCCCTCATCATTTTTTGTTGTACATTAAAATTACATCGTGCAAGACATCTGCCTGTCCAAGGCAACCAGTTTTCTTCTCGATAAGAGGTAGCCGTCAGGGATAATAAATCGTTTTGAAGGCATTTCTTTTCGCAAATAAAATTGTTTAAAAAAGAAAAAGAATTTACTATCTTTGCTACTATTTTATTTAAACAATATTATGAATATATTTGACATTTTCTCATAACTATGTTCGCGTGTCAGCTCCTTTTTTAAAAATCCAAGCACTAGAGTAAATTTGTCTTCTTCCCTGTTGAAGGTATTACTGAAGAGTTTGAGTACTGCTCATTTGAAATCGAAATAGGATCTTTTTCACAGTGGCAGCCGAGATATCCCCGCTCTTCAAACAGACTCGCAACTTGTCGAGACATTTCGAGGCGGTATTTGGACCGGTATCCCGAGAACGAGTCATAGAAGATCTAACTTTGCTAGATTCGGATTGTGTACCCTGACTAGAACTTCCTGTTGTGCGTCTATCTTTGCTCGTAGTGGTGGTTCCGAGGCCGCTTCCTCTCCGCGTCTGTTCCTTCTTGCGTTTTTTCAGTTTCTGTCTGATGGTCGTCACACTGTACAGGTAGGGGTTAAGAGCTGAGTTCAGCGGCAGGATAAAGATGATAGAGACCACATTCGCTTGTCCTGGAATTGGAACTCCTACCTTGGACAGGAGACCCATGACTCCAATTGGAAACCAGCATAGGAAATCCGTTACGACAACCAGAGCCAGTTTCTTAGCGATGGCAGCGTCTTGTTCTCTGAAAAAAACCAAGGCAGATATTTTTATCGAGTTACCCTGTGTTGAATCATGGTCCAAGTTCTTGTTGTTGTTTTTATTGTTTGTATTCTGGTTTAAGGTGTGTGTGTTTGTGTGTGTGTGTGGTGAAGGGGGCGGGGGGGGGTGATAAAAGTCAAAATTACTGAATCACGAGTGAAATTTAAATTTTATGTAAGAGGGGGCATTTATCATTCTAGTTTATTTTGGTTTTTACATTTTTAAAATCAGTTGATACGTTTTTTTAAATGAATTTGTTTCTTTTACCTAGGTGTGATTATTTCATGTCCTGTTGTCTATTATCAATTTTTATTTGTACGAAAATCAGAATTTTTTAACTGTGGGCGCGCGATATCTCCCTTATTCCTTGACCATTCTCATACATTCTTTGGGGGGTGGTTTAATATCACCCGCAAGGATAACCGGACAATTTAGAAAATATCTTTACTTCTAATTCTCATATCTAGACTAATCCTACATCATTCTCTTTGTATTTCTTAACTGCTCATAAATATTAAAGAGTAAGCCAACTAAGCAGTATTTCATAATTTTATGATCATTCTTAATTTTTTTAAATTTGTTTTTTAGCGCTCTTCTCATCATAAAACGGACTCTGTTTAAAAAAATGATCATAAGTCAGCGCCCCATTTTTCTTTTCCAAAGTATTGAGCATACATTTGTGTGAAAGTATATTTTATGTTTTCAAGTACATGTACATAAAAAGTATATGAAGTCAAGCAAAATGTTCTTCCGAGACATAGTAGTAGGCCCACTGGAACATTTAATGAGCTGCGTAAAGACAGCCAGAAAACAACAAAATAATCTTATGATATTCTTTTTTTATTCACTTGCACAACAATTTTTTGGACTTAATCTTCCTCATTATTTATTTTTCACATATTTTTCTTCAAAATTATTGAAAACTGTATTGATTTCTCAAGTTATTGTCAATTAGAAATTTTAATTGATTAGCACAATTTTAATTTTTTAAAAATCAAACCAGAGACTAGCTAGCTGTCTAAAAAGTCCCCTGATAAAGCTATTCTTATAAAAGAAAAAGGGCACAATTTGATACTGTAAAAAAGTAACAATATCCAGAAAATAATAACCTAAAATTATTATCTACTGAAACTGAAAGACTGAGCAGAGGCTTATATACATGTACTCTGTTCTCTACGACATGTAGTAAGTTTGCGCAATACAGATGAGAAAAAAAGTTGGATCTAACAAAAGTAAAAGTTATTGTCATGATGAGATTTGTTATTACTAACTCAGGAAAATCTTTAATATAGTTAAATGCGGGGTCTAAAATTAACTAGAACTGTGCATTTCAAGTTTTAGTTCAAATCCAAAGCCCAAAGTCACAGCCTAATAAGTTAGATCAAGCAAATGTTAAGTTCTCAGGCTGCCTCTAGCCTACAGCTACTAATTCTAGACAGGGAATTTATATTTAGATATCATCTGCACTATTCAAAAGCCAAATATTATTTGAAATATGGTACAATTTTAAATTGTTAATTCTTTTATCAGTCAGTACATCACAATTTCCTTAGCTGCACGTATTAGATTTCTAATAGTATTGAATAAATGCGATGCCGAAGCAACATATACCGAGTTGCAAAAGTTCTGTCACACTCACGTTAAAAATACAACGACTCATTTACAGCTCAACATAGCCAAGAGAAATTTGGTACACGCGATCTATATTCATTTAATTTTCTGCCAATGTGACATAAAAAGAATTGACAAATGTCTTTCCTTATTCAAGGGAGATAATTTTATTCACACTGACTCTTGCAAAATCCAAATCAAAGTTTGCTCAGTATGATGGCGTGTGGCCTCTTTCAGCTTGAATTACTGATACAAAACATCTGTTCATTGACTGAATTGCAGTCCTTATGTTCATCTGAAGAATCCTCTGCCATTCCTTGTGAAGTGCAGTCTTCAGTTCCTGACCAGTTTGTACGGAGTGCGGCCTGTTTCTAATCCTCTGTCAAAGTCATCTTACAGATGTTCTGTGGGGTTATGGCTTGTTGGTCTTGCAGGCCAGTCCAGAACAACGATTTGACGAGTTTGGAAGAAGTTTTCATTGATCGTAGCCATTTGTGGTAGGGAGTTGTCTTGTTAACAGATTCCATCATCTGTGCCATGTAGCGTAGTCACCGTGACGAAGCATTTCGTAACAATACTGTCATTTGAGGTTGCTTTGAAAAGTAACTAAATGTAAAAGATAAAAAGCAGAGATTCCACCCCCTACCATCACGTCATTTCTGCCACCTTCGGGCCTCTTGGGGGACGCTGGATTTGTGAAATTTCTGTTCTCTTCTTTTAAACACCTTTTCTCTTCCATCAATGCGACGAATTAAAAACTTTACCAACGTCTTTAGTTTCGTCAACAATGTTGTTGTGCCAAAATTTGTCGATTTCTTCTATGAAACATGGTTAGAATGGCTCCATATGAAGGGCGATAATCACATAATCCACTATCTTATAAATGTCTAATAATGATGTTTCAAGACAGTCCAAAGTGCCTGCCAGTCTCTGCACTAAGTTGGAATGGGTTTTGTACATGGGTGTTGACAATAACTCAATTCTGATGTCGAGTTGTCGCCCTTGGTTGGCTACGTCGCGGCTTGTCCTGGGCAGTTATAGTGGTGTTAAAACGTTTGTTCAAGCGTTAGATGGTTCCCCTGCAAACGTTTACGTGTCTTGCAAAAGCAGAAAGTGCAATTAAAGAATGTATTATACACACAGCCCCTTTATTTTCTGAATTTATCTTTTTTTTTACTTTAGAAAACAGGAGAAAAAAAGCACCCAACCGTTAAAAAGCACGGAATTTCATAGTGTGTAAGGTTTGTTTGCACATTGTCTACGTGATTCAAAACAACTTTGGTGTTTAGGAAGCGTTGATTTCAACACAGACCGAGAGAACTCAATACTAACACTTTGTCCACGTACTACTTCCGGTTTAGGATTTCTTTGGTTTGCTCTTGCACAAGAAGTCTCATAAGTCCCACAAACCATACTTTTAACTTTTACTGCAATTCTTACGCTATACCGAAAATTATCGTAATATAATGGGCGTGACAGAACTTTTGCAACCCGGTATGTTATCGCAGTGTGCAGGGGGAGAGCGGGGGCGCCCGGTCGCTGACCGGCCGATTAGGGGGTTCGGCTTTTATATGCAATTTTACGGAAAGCCCGATTATTAGCCAAGTGAAAACTTCAACCTATACAGCTCAGGTGTCAAGAGATGCTGGATGGAATGAATAATACTAATACTTCTTGCAGTTTCAGCAGGTAGTCTTTATTTTATCGCGTTGTAAAAAATTGCCTTGTTTTCAGAAGCAAGTATTTCCAGTTCTACCAAATCGATTTTCACGCAAAGACGACTATTTTGGACATCTTTCTTTTCCTTTTAAAAAGATATAGGCCTGTCGGATGTGACAGTGCAATTCACAAAACTGTGAGTTGTTTAGACCCATCAAAACGCGAGATTTCACGGCCAATCACAAAAGTGTAACGGGCGTATCGAGGCCGATTCGCCCTGCCGCGCGCACGTTTACTAAACTGTCTACTACTACTACTACGACAGAGTGCCGTCGAGCACCAAGTGTACACGCTTTTTTATACACCAAATTTAACCCGGAAGTCCATTTGGAGGATTTGACCTTTTCACTTGTCCATCCAAAGTATGCCAAAATGGTAGCCTAGCTATTGCTCCTCCATGAAAGAAAAAATCTGGCCTACTATTTTCATTATACGCTAATGATTAATATTTTAAGTTATGCACTTATGATAAAACTGCGTTAAATTATGACAAAGGTGCAACGTTGCGAAAGAGGAACGAAGTCAGTCGTGTGAAAAGGGTAGTTTGAGCTATGGCCTCAATAAGGATACCTGGGGGCCGTCCCGGTATATAGGCCATAATTAATTATGTGTCCTAAATAAGCTCTCCCATTTTTAAGATGTGAATTTGCACCTTTTCATTTTTTTTTTCATTTTTACCACTTCCACTGAGTTCAGTTCATATACAAAAGAATTTAGTCTGAATTTAAAGCTTAGTATATAAGCTTCCATTAGAGAAAAAAGTAATTGAAATTATTTTAAAACGAATTTCGTGTGAATTTTTTCGTGCTACCAATATTTATCAGGTCTCCCCCCCCCCCCCCCCCCCCTTTATTAACCCAAGTGACCTATCAGAGCAATAGCGTGCTGCCTTAGAAATAATCTATGCAGTGTTGTGATATATAGTTTTTAATAAATTGTGCCCAATTCCTTCTGTCCTTTTCAGTTGTACACTTCTTTTGAACCCTTCCCTCCCCCTCCCCATTTTCCCACAATTTCATGGAAACCCTGCAATCATTCTTAGCACAATAAATTGAACCATTTTTTGCCCCCGTACTGGAAGGTTACACACGATCAACTACTCCCAAAAGTTTACAAATGATTTTTACTTAAGCGTTTTGTTTATTTTTGTTTTATTCTCAAATTTTCTTCCCTTTTCTTTACACTGGGCCATGTTTATACTATACAAATGACTTAGGTACCCTTTGTATGGTGTTAACTCTTATAAAACGAACTTATAAGAAAGCAAAACAAAATAAAAATCCTAAGGTACAAACCTTCGGCCAGATAGAGAGTTCTTGAACTTCTGACTGCTGGCTCTAACCGCCCGGAAAATGAGCACCTGGCCAAGAGCGATGCTGAGAAACATGACCAAGTTGAAGACGATGAAGACAGCAAAGGCGTAGTCTGTGCCGGGGAAACTGGCGCGGGTGATGGGCAGAGGAACACATACGGCATTCTGGGAGTAGAAGTCCCAGTGAGACAATGGGGGTAATAGAGGCACGCCAGCACACATAAAACCGGTCATCCAGGTGACCATCACGACCAGCCGAGCCTTCTTTTGGGTCATGTTGACATTGGTCAGTGGGAACGCCAGGGCTAAGTAGCGGTCCAGAGTGACCAGACAGATTGTGATGGCCGAAATCTCGCTGGACATTAAGCAAAGAAATCCGGCTAAGGAACAGTAGCTGGAGTTTTTCCAGTTGTCTGCTTCCACCAAGTAGCGGCCTCTGAACAGGTGGTCGGCTGTTCCCACGATGGCTAAGTAAATGCCCATGAGAAGATCGGAGGCACTGAGGCTGGTGATGAACGTGTTGTAGCCCAAATGGGAGGGCCTATGTTCTACACAGAACTTGTAGACGAGAACAGCGCTGTTCCCACAGACTGTCAAACTTGCCATGAGCCACAGGAATGCTCGGAAGAAGGGCGTGCGGAGGATGTCCTCACAAGAAGAGATCTCATCTGTTGGAGCTTCACACGTTCCCAAGGACAGCGAGTCTGGGATGATGCTGGCACAACAAAGCCTATAGTTGTCAGTTTCCAGCAGAGACAGACGAGGCAGACTGGACAAGATAGTTTCCTCGAATTTCACGATGGGGTTTCCTCTCATAGACAGCTCCTGTAGCTCCGAGAGTCCAGCAAACGCTGCCAAGTCTACGTTTGTGATGCCCATATCCTCCAGGAGTAACACTTTCAGTTTCTGGCAGCCCGTTAAAAAAGACGATCGTAATCTCACAAAAGGGTTTCCAGAAACATCCAGCTTCTCCAGATTTACCAACAATCTGACAGATTGTAAATCCACTTCAGCTAAGTTATTTCTAGCCAGAGATAGCTGTCGTAGGTTGGAGGCCTTTTCAAACGTTTGCAAATCTATAAGCTCCAAGAGATTATCGCTTAAGTCTAACATGTATAGGTTTACCATATTTAGTCTTACCAGCTGGTGTAGATGGCAGTTCCGAGCAATTAAAGCGATTAGGTGGTGGTTTGGGTTGATGACAGAGATGTCATGCACAACGGTGTTAGAGATATTCAGTCGTTTCACACGACCTATATCAGGGAATGGAGAAACTGTGTGGCAGTTCATTTCTTTCCCTGAGCACATACAGCCGTGGGGACATGTATCGTTGTTACCACAAAAAGCCTCGTCGTCTTGAAATGGACAGTGGAACCACCCATCACACACGTATACGTCGGGTAAACAGATGGACGTCTTGTGGCATTTGTAGCGACCTTTACAGAAAGACTGGCATGTCTCAGTCAGCTCGTCTTCTCCCTCTGGGCAATCTTTGTGGCCGTTACACAACATGTAGATAGGGATACAGTAACCGTTGGGGCACTGGGCGTGAGTTGGCGGACACGGTTGTCTATCACTCAACGACTGGATGGTCACTTTCCCGTAACCGTCAGGCTGGACAACACCAGGCGGCGGCTGTACGGGAGTTGTGTGCTGGATAAACCTGGGCTCTGCGATCCACCGACCCTTCGTGTCCTTGATGGGGCAGTCTAGAGCGTCATCATCGACCCAGTGAGGCGGCATGCACCCTACAGACGGACACAGGACTGCCCCGCCCTGGCAGGATCGGCAGAACTGTTCGTCAGAACCGTCCAGACAGTCGAATCTCGCGTCACACCAAGCCGATGACGGCACCGGTATTCCATTGGTGCACACCGCCATGCTGGGATCGTCATCCGGCACGGGGAGACAGAACTCCTCGTCAGATTCCTCCGGGCAGTCCTTGATTCCGTCACAGACGTGCGAGTACCAGAGAAGACTTCCTGACTTGCAGCTAAAATAGCCAGGTGGCGCTTCAGTCTGATCAGGACAGTCCTCTTCGTCACTTCCGTCAAAACAGTCAACAATCCTGTCGCATTGTCTGGATAAAAATATTCTTTCCTCACTTCTCACGCATTGAAACGTTTCAATCTTGTCTGTCCAGACTGAACTCGATGGTGATGCTATGGGATGTGTTTCCTGTATATTGTTCTTCACCTCACAAACGATATGGACTTTCTCTATAGAGAACGAATGGCCGAAGAAGGAGATTCCTAGCCAAATTGAGTTGCACGGCATGTTGAACATTTCCCTTTGGTTTTTGGTGAAATCCCACACAGTGCATACAGGGACATCTGAGCCAAAGTGCTTGTTGAACCCATTAAAGATGGTGGTTCCATCCACTCCCTGGTACAGTTTGCCGTACACAGGATCCTCATCTAAGGTGATCTGACGGATGCCTAGATACCAGGCTCTCCAAAAGGAGAAGTTCGCAGCAACCAATTCCGAAAGCATAGCCAGCTCTTCTTGTGAGTTTGGCGTGACTAAATGGCCGTTATACTCATGCACGCACAGGTCCTCTGCTTTCTGCCACGTCATTCGCTGACGCCTAGATACACGCCGGAGATAGTAACAGCTTGAGCCAAAGACGTAACCTCCCGGACAGGAAGTCTCATTGACGTAAGAGCAGTTTCTCTCGTCCTCCCTCCCCACACAGTCGGCATGGTAGTCACAAAGCATGCTTTGTGGAATTGAGTGCTCGTTTCCCGTGCAATTTAGTGTGAATCCCTTCAGTATTGGGATGTATGCATCTTTACTTACAGCTTTGTATGTTATCTTGAAGCCGAGGTCAGTTGCAATTCCAATGTCTGAACGAAACACAACTCTCGCACTGTTGCTGGGAAGGGTAAGGAGATGTCCATTCTGTACACGACGCTCGTCCCAAGGAAAAACTACTTCCAAACTGTCGCTCCCCTCTATGTCAGAGCGCCGTCCCGTTGTTGAAATCGTTAAGGATTGTATACTGCTACCATCTTGATCCACGTCAAATGACAACTGAAGAATACTGTCGTTTGACACCTGGATCTGCCATTCACACGCAGCGCCAGCACTTCCATCGTCCCTGTATCCTCGAGATGTGATGAACCCAGTCTGAACTTCTTGGAAAACTGTATGTTGAGACCAGCACTTGTCTGCCTCTACCCCCTGCCTCATGGGCTCACACGTTCGATATTTCAGCGAGAAAGACAAGTTGTCGTCGCACCAGAGACGTGTGCCAGTCTGAACTTTTATCTCCACCGAGCGCCCATTGGAAGGGACTGCTCGAAAAGGTTTGGGCGTCATATCACCGCAGAACTCTAACAGCTCGTTAGGAAAAGACACGAAAGCATCTTTGCAATTAAGAGTCCCATCTGCCTCGACGAGAGAAGTGGATGGTATATTGAATTCAAGAAATTCGATTAACATGTCTTTTCCAGGAGGAGATAGAATTTCCATCACAAAATCACATTTCGTGGCACAACACGGGGTCTGGAAGTTAAGGATTCCGTCCTCCGCTTGGACAACGAGTCCTGCGTCGGAACCGCACAAACGGTCTACTCTAACGTAAAATTCGATATAGCCATCAACCCAACGATCATAAGAGGCGAGGTAGGAACGTTCAACTCCGTTGTAGATGAAACCAGTGCTGTTGTCGTGGTCAACCATGCACTTTTTGGAAACACTGGTCTTGGTTGAGAATGATCTTTTGCTTCTCTTCTTCTCGGCTTGAGGCAGATTCCTGTTTAGCCAGGCAGATGTTGCAGCGAGTGACCGCTCTGATGTCACACGGCTCGCAAAGATCACGGACGTGTTAGATGTTGGTCCCGAATTACCTCCACCAGGAGTATTTCTGACAGGTCTATAACTTTGTATCCCTCCTTTCACAGTCACACGGTCAAACATACTGCTATTTAAGCAACCTGTCGCTATTATAAAGTACACAGTTATTATTGGTCTTTCCATCTCGAGAAAGAGGACAATGTTCACTGAAATCTGAACCAAAAAGATTATTTACTATGATACAATATTTGACCTACAACTGAAAGGTCCAGTGAAACATTTACATCACTGCCAGATAACAACTACTTTAGGGAGCGGCGTATCTTGCATGCAAAGATTGGTAGCAAAGATTTCTCTGAAACACACCTTCAGTTGAGCTCTTAAGTAAGCCGTTTAGTTTTGCATCGATGACACCATACATCCTTATATTCTTGAGCACATATCGGTAAGAACTGCAGTGTTTATGTGTCTTCTGGATTTAGTTCAGTCGAAATGGTCGTACTGTTTTATTTTGAAATGCATTTAAGTAAACGCCTGAACAATGCTCTCTGTTAGAGTGGTGTTGTGGGTACCTTTTCGGAAAGACTGTACAGCTTTGAGGGATAGGCTTATTGAAAGCCTCACACGAAACTGCACCCTGCTCAGAAAACAAGAGCTCTACACTATAGACGAGGTCTATTTGTTGCACTTCTTTATACAACCAATAAATGACAGGCAGCTAACTCGCATTAATATTTAAAGTATTTCTATTGGTCCTAACTCGAGGGTATTCCCAAAGGTGACGGAGAATGGGGTTCTACTGATTTAATGGCTTCTCGGGGGATCTTAATTATTAATTGAAACATCTCTTAATGGGGGATTTCCCCCTGACACTAGTGTGCTATCGGAGAGAGAGAGAGAGCGCCAGAAGATTAGTCTAGAGGTGTTACATGAGAGTAACAAACATAAAAAAGAAGAAGGGGAGATAAGGACGATAGATGTTTCATAGGAAAGAAGAAGCAGCAAACCACACCAGAGCACCCGCCAGCCACCCACAAAAGCAAAAAGACTCCACCTCCTCCCCCTAAAAATAAAAAAAACTATAAAAAAACTGCCGTTCACACTTCAGAGTACATAGTGTGTAATTCTAAAAATATAAAATCATTTGGCGCAGTGAAGTCACATCGTACAAATTACCAGCTGACCTTCAAGTTTATTAAGTTACCCCCCAAAGATGTCAAATATAATACATGTAATTGTAAAGTTAAAGAACTGGTGTCTGTTGTGAAGCGGGTAGGCGCTTTGCTGTCACATGCAGGAAATCCCGAGTTTGATTCTGATAGCGGGGAGAAATTCTAATCAGCATCTCTGTCGTTCTGCTTGCTGGGATGTAGTACCCCTCTTAGCACCGGTGGGCCTTGACAGGCAGGGTCAGGAGCCTGCCTTCTAAGTGATCTAAATTAAATTGTGTCCATGTGGACATTCATATGTAATAACTAACGAGGCTGACAATTACGGGATGAAAATAAGGTGTGTTGTCACGTCATGTAAGGAGATATTTTCACACTGAAAACAAAGGGACAAAGTCAAAATAAATCTCTTATAAAACAATTTTATTTCGTTTTTGTTGTTCTGGCAATCTACAAAAATATGAAGATCATTAAATGAAGGGACGGGAAGGGTCATACATAATATGTTGCAATTCAACGTGTATGTGTTTGTATGATTTTGTAGAAGTAAATTAAAGTGTTTTGAATGAGTTCATGGAAGTAGTAAAATTAGAGTTGAGAGTTTTGCATGAGCTTAAAGAAGTTAAATTATTGAGTGTTTCGTATGAGTTTATAGAAGTAGGAAATTATAGTGTTTTGTAGGAGTTCATGGAAGTAGTAAATTAGACAGAGAGAAACAGCAGAGGGAAAGTTAGGAAGTAGGGCCTACAAGTGGCACCCTTCAAACACCCACTTACAAAAATAATGTGTCATGATGCTGGAATCAGATGCTCGTCAATTTTTTGGCATGTGGAGTTATTCGTAAAGCCTTCAAGATAAGAAAAATTCCAATCTATCTTGAATGGAAATGGAGATATTTCCTATTGAAGGGAGTGGGGGCCAACTGGTGTCAGAGGTAAAATTAATGAGAAAATGGCAGCCAAAGTTTAATGACTTCTAAAGAGAGTATCCACGGAAACTGCAATTTTACTTTTTTGTGTGATTTTGATCAACACTTATGAGTGAAATACAGAGATATGTTTTTGCAAGGCATAAAAAGCCCAAAAGAAAATTCTTTTAAAATTGCCCTACAGGCAGAAAAAAATGTGTTCCTTTCATTTCATTATTTGATGAGTACCAGATTTCATCACGATGCCAGAAAAAACAAATTTATGATAGCTGCAAAGACAGTAAACAACACGCAGCTTGATAAAACAGTGGATATTTTGTACAACTAAGGCGGCAGCATCCTTTCTAAAAGGATGAAATGAACTTTTTTTTTTTGGTGTGACTTCCACTGAGGAATTGAAAGAAGGAGGGAAAAAATAAGGGAGGAATCCATTTTACAGAGAGCTTGATATGCGTAGCAAAACACTTGCAAAAGTTATAATTACTTTTTCCCAGTGACGACAATGATGTTTGAGTGTGTGTGCGTGTGTGTGTGTGTACTGCGTGTGTGTGTATGTACTGTGTGTGTGAGTGTGTGTGTGTGTGTGTGCGCGTGCGTACTCTGTGTGTGTGTGTGTGTGTGTATGTGTGTGTGTGTGTAATCGAACATGTGGGGGTGAGGGGAGGAGTATCAAACGCATGCAGCATTACCAATATAATCAAAAACATACTCACACGAGGTACAGTCAAAACATTCCCTTCCACATTCGGGTTAATAAAAAACTTAGTTAAAACACACTTCAGTCTTCACAGCACATTATGTACACACAGACTGGGTCATATATCATTAGCACCAGGAACGTAGTCCTTGCACTGGCAAGCTACGTTTATTCATCAGTTTCTTGAGACAAATCTTTCCAAACAATCCATTTAAAAAAAACAACTTTATTTTAAAAAAAAGAAAAAAACCCACAAAAACCCCCCAAACAAAACAAACAAAAACAAAACAAACCAGTTTCTTGACTTCCCCCTACAAGTGCTAAATCAGTTACCTTAAATTTGTCCAGCACAATGAGTTAGGTCGACATCTTTCAAAAATAGGACTGCAAATGCTGAGTGACTCATGTGCACAAATTAGATCCTTTTGAAACCTGGCTACTTCAACTGTGCCAACCCAGACTGTGAGGGATACAGCATTCCAGCAGAATTATGCACCTACACACTCAATGAGATATACTTTCTTAAGTAAGAATCAAAGTCATGACCCCACATCTCCTACATGGGGTGGGGGTGCTAAACATTTACATCAATGACACAGGTAAAGACCAGTCAAGCCATAATTAAATTGCCACAGAAGAAGTAGATTAGGTCATGTACTGGTTCTTTAAAAAAAGACAAAAATATGTCAGGATACTTTGTAAGTAAAACAAAAAAAAGCATGCTTGACCATTCTGTTGTCAATGGTGCTCATAAATATCATTGCCATCAAAAATAATTTTGAAGTCATTGATAAAAGCATTGTGCAGCAGATTTTTATATTGTTTTAGTTACATAGCACTTCAACAGAATAGATGTCATGACGAGATGGAATCAGGCGCTCATTAATTTTTGGCCATGTGGAGTTATAAATCGATATCATCTTAACTCTTTGAATCCCACTCACCACTTAGAGGTGCTTTTGACTCGGCGTTTTGATGGCTTGCCACTATAGTCGTGTTTTGAGGGTGCTGATTTCAAGCCCTGAAAACGATTAGCCTAACCACTAGGCTATTGACGTTTACCTGTACAGAGAGAAGCAACTTCTCTAGTAGTTAGTAGAGGTTTTTACGGCGCTCGCAACTGCATAAGGTCATATGAGTGCCAGGAGATTAGAGGTGTTACAAGAGAGTAACAAACATAAAAAAGAAGAAGGGGTGATAAGGACGATAGCTGTTCGATAGAAAAGAAGAAGCAAACCACATCAGAGCACCCGCCAACCACCCACAGCAACTTCTCTGTGTTCTGTTTAGAGCCAAAAAGTCCTGTACTGCTGTCTCCAACAGTTCTTCCCTTGCCACTGTGACAAAAAAAAAAATATGACGACAAACCCGCCATGATCAACTTGTACAATTTCATTGTGAATGGATGCGACAGGCTGTCCAAAGCTACAGCATGTACAACAGAAAAAGCACCACATGGTGGGGAAAAAAAATCTTCTTTTGGATTTTCGAGAGCAGAAAAGTCAATGCCCACATTCTTCACATGAGAGAAGTGAAGTTCAAGCACGAATTGACTTCAAAATTGTGCTCTCATATTGCAACATTACTTTTGGAGGACAAGGATATCCAGTAACCTGGTGCTAGGGGTCATATTCCATCAAACAAACCAGTGGCTGGTGTGAAAAGCAATTTACTTGCGGTGATGTCCAGCCTTTCACACATTTGTCGACAGTGAAGTACCCCAACAAACAGGAAAAGGACCTCATTTTACTGCAAGGGATGTCCAAACCAGCTTTTTTCATCCCACCCCATGTTTTGAGGCCTATCATCTTGCCCTGTGTTATAAACAGACAGTTGGGGGCACCTGTGCTTCTTTTGTGTATTCGATCAAAGGTTTTCAGTTGTTTTGAAATGGTCATAAAAGGTGTTGAACCAACAAAAAACCAAAGAAATTCCTATAAAAATTGTCCAACGGACATTTTTCTTTCTAAAAAATTTTTTTTGAGTGCCTGATTGCACCACAATGTCACACAAATTTGAAATTTCATAACATGAAAACCAAAAAAGACAAGACAGGAATGACAGACAGCCAAAGAGCAGAATAGAAAGCACAAGAAAAGATGTCTCAGAAACAAAAAAACAAAAAAGCAAGATCACCAACAGAAACAAGATTGATTATACAAAAGCAAAGGGCACAAGCAGTTCCCCTTACAGCACAAGCAGTTCCCCTTACAGCACTCACGGAAACAAAAAAGTTCTTGACTCACATCTTATTGGTGACTGAAGTCATGCAATGCTGTAAGGAAAACCTATCAGATCCAATGTATGGCAGGTGTTCATTCTCACCTACACTCAAGAAACCAGATCTTCTTCATGAGAAGCTCAAGAATACAGTGGAATCCTGTTATAACGAGAGGGAGGGTACCTGTGCCAAATATCCGTTATAGCAGGATTCTCGTTATAAGGGATCCAGTAATAAATTCAAGGGAAGTAATAAAGTAGGCCTAATCTATGAGTCTGATTTTCAGTTTATTTCTTTTTGTAATATCCCCTGATGATGATTTGGTTCAAAATGACCTTTAAGTCTTACCAGATCAAAAGTTGAATCAGGTTTCTTTCTCTAGCGCTAGCGATGTTGCCAGCTCAGCGTTGGCGATCAGAAAGACAGTTCTCTAGGCTAACTCGCCCCCTGTGTTGTCCCTCATCACGCCCACGTCACACATTCGCTCCATCCATCACAGCACTATGACCTCTCCATCCTCGCATCGGAGAAGTGAGAGGCATGGTAGGCCTAGACCTTGATAATCTAGACTAGGCTGGCCCATCACACGATGCGTTCTGCTTGTCTGCGCATACCACACTCCCTCCACTCATTCAATCCGGCCTTCACTGTCGGCACACGTGGACTCTCGCATTCTTTGTTTCGTGAGATAACCAACAAGCTTCTCAACGGGCGAGGTTTTACATGAATAATTGGCCTATGCGCGGTGCACAGCAGCATCTATATTCCGCTATAACCGACTCGCGCGTTTATCTGATTGCGCTATAGCAGTATTTTATTTACAAAGATAAAGAAGAGGAAAAAAACAGGGTTTTAGAAAAGTGTCATTTTAACAGACTTCTCGCTATTTCAGGACTCATTATAAGAGGATTCCACTGTATCTCACACTGTAATTAATAAGCCTGAAATATTCAATTCAATACTTTTGCCTCAGCTGAAAGGCTTATCAACTGTTAGCAAAAGTAACTATAAAGAAAAAGAAATAAAACAGAATGTGAATAAATTAAAATCAATTTGACATCTCATACAGTACATCGTGAAATATAATCTGTAACAAATTAACATAATACTGTACACATTTAAGTAGTAAAATAATTTATTTGATATAAATTTACTTTTAATTTACTCTCACTCTCTGAAATATTCATTCATCCATTCTTTCGGTAACGATTATTGCACTTTGTGAAACAGATCAAAAGCAGAATGATTGCTAGCACTCTTCAGTTGCTTGTTTTAGCTCGTTAGTAGGAATCTAGTTCATGTCATGTGAACGCAAGGCACAAGTCAAACAATTACACCACAGATGCCTGTGACACCAAAAAAGGCTCCAGTTTGGTAAAAGTGTTACTGCCCTCGAAACTGCATAAGAGCAAGCGGGACACAAGTTAGTTGTTTTCACAGCATGGCTTGATTTTACAATTAAAACAAAAAAACATTAAAGTTTAACAAGATTTCTCTGATAGACTTACAATGCCTAATTAAGGCAAATGATTCTCTTCCTTTTGTGTACTTATAGATTGACCAAAGGGAGCAAATGAAAAGTCAAGAAAAAGGCCTTGAATTTCATTAGACAATAACTATAATAATGTAAAAAGACAGAGCGGGTCGGTCCTCTGTTTACTCTGAATTACTGCTCCTTACGATTCAGCCATTTCACAAAATATAAACAACCATGTGTTTCACTAAACGGATCTGAGCTTCATGACTGATAAATTTTTTTTGCTCAATAACGTTTTAGACAAAGAAACTAAGTAAACTTTGGACTGTTGAAAGGAAACAAAATTTCTTTAACTTCCTTTTTCAAACATCTTTTCAGGAAAACTATCACAGATTTTTAGCAGCAACAGGCTCACTTTGAATGGACATAAAATAGTGCACTCTCAGCAGCTATTCATACTAAACCTCCACACAGATAAACATTTGATCAGCAATGATTTGGCAGTATAGAGTTAATCACACACCTCATTCAGACATGCCAGACCTCAGCACAGCAGAAAAAAACCCCTCTCATCTCACTGTGGCAAACCCTTCTCATCATTCCAAACATCTCCTCTTTCCAACTCTTCCGCATCAATTTCCTTATCTTTATCATCATCATCACCATTATCATTATGACTGGTTTTAGCTTCGCCCTTTGCTTTATTTTCCTCAGCGTTTTTCTTCCTCTCAAATTCTGCCACCTCTTCCTCAGTTAACTCGCGGATTTTCGGCCCGCTGGGCGCTTCCTCTTCCTGCTTTTTGTCCACAATGATTTCCTCCAACTCTTCGTCATCCGCTGCGTCCTCTTCCTTCTTCGTCTTCTCCTTTGACTGGAATTCTTCCTCAGCCAGCCTCTTTTCCTCCTCCTCCTTTTTCCGTTGTCTTTCTTCCTCCTCCTCCTCTTCTTTCCTCCTCCTTGCTTCCTCTTCGGCTGCCTTGCGTAGTTGAGCTCGGAGGATTTCGAGAAATTTGTCAGGAGCTTTCCCTTCCTGGTTCTCTTTAATCAGACCATACTCTACAGCCTTCGCCAGAGCCTGAAACATGAAAACAACCATTCAGATAAAGTTAAAAGCAAAAAAAATGGGGACATTTTAAAAAAGAATTTACACATTCTGGAAAGAAAAAAAAACAGCTTATGTTGAAATGTTTTAGCTATTTTTGCTAAACTCTAAAATGGCAAAATTTGACATATGTGAGGCAGCGTGGTGGAATCAGGCTCTAGTCAGTTTTTGAGCATGTAGAGTTATTGATATCATCTTAAAGCTTGTTCACTTGTCTTTATTTGGATGAAAAAAATATCCATTTATCTTGAATAGAAGTCGAGATATTTGCGAATGAAGAATGTGGGGGTCACCTGTTTTCAGAGGTAAGATTAGTGAGAAAATGGCCGCAAAAGATTAGTTATTTCCTTGGCTTTAAGAGTTCGTGGTAACTGAAAATTTACATTTTTTGTGTCCTTATTCAATGCCTTTCAGAAAAACCCACACAGAAATGAGTTCTTTAATGTGCATGAAAGGTGTTGAGCCAAAAAACAAAAATTTGATAAAAATTCACAAACCTGCGGAAAAATGTCAGTTTCTTCACTTTAATTATTTTGACGAGAGCCTGATTCCACCATGCTGCCTCACATTTCATTTTTAAAAGTTCGTCTAGCCTCTCTCCATTCTTTTTTCAGAAATGTTATCTCTTCAGGTAAAATTTTAAAAGAGAGAAAAGCATTTCCCTCTTCTCTCCTACTCACAGCATCAGCAGCATTCTTGGCAGGTTTTATCTGGGGCCTGTGGTTGAGAGAGAGAGAGATAGAGACTGAGAGAGATTAAGAGAGAGAGAGAGAGAGAGAGAGAGAGAGAGAGAGAGAGAGAGAGAGAGAGAGAGAGAGAGAGAGAGAGGGGGGGGGGAGGGTGAAAGAGCGAGAGAGAGAGAGAGAGAGAGACAGACAGAGAGAGAGACAGAGATATCAGAGCCAAACACAGTGACCACTCACAGCATCAGCAGCCTTCTTGGCAGACTCAGCCTGAGGGTCGGTGTCCTTGGACACAGCCATGAGAATCTCCAGCAGGGGGCTCTCCACCACCAGACGAGCCGTGTCCTCGCCAGCCAGGACCAGATTCATGACAACGTGGCACGCTCTGTGCTGGATGTCCGGCAGCTCGCTCACCGTGTGCACCTGGAAGATGTCCAGCCACTGGGACACCTGAGGGAACAGATAAAGTTGGGTTGGTTTTTTTTTATTCAGAGGTATCTCTCTTTAGTTTAGTATGGGGTTTTACGGCGCTCGCAACTGCATAAAGGTATCTCTCTTGTGTCTTCCCTGAGATTGATAATAATAACAATATTAATAGATTTCACATATCAATAATAGCAAACTTCACTAAGTTATAAAGCGTATTTCCACTAAGAAAGTGCTCAATGCCTTTTACAATAAAGAATAAACTTTTTCATGAGCATATGAATAAACATTAAGAAGTCTCTCCTGCTTCTTTCTAAGACATTTAATATAAAATTTACTTAAATAATGCATTTCCGATTAGAAATAGCTCAATGTACATTTTTTTAATGCAAAAAAAATTAGTACCATATGATACCGATCGTTTCTCTTCGTATCTTAATAATCAACAAATGTAAAGATTTTTCTGCCTCACTAACATAATCTAGATCATTTAGAAGGCAGGAGAAGGAGGAAGAGGAAGAAGAAGGAGGAAGAGGAAGAGGAAGAGGAAGAAAAGAAGAAGAAGAAAAAGAAGAAGAGGAGGAGGAGGAGGAGGAGGAGGAGGAAAAGAAGAAGAAGGAAGAAGAAGAAGAAGAAGAAAAAGAAGAAGAAGAAGAAGAAGAAAAAGAAGAAGAAGAAGAAGAAGAAGAAGCAGCAGCAGAAGAACAGAAGACGAAGAAGAAGAAGAAGAAAAAGAAGAAGAAGAAGAAGAAGAAGAAGAAGAAGAAACAGCACTCTGGAAAATCTTCACCCGCGCATTTTGGGAAACAAAAACGTCATAACACAATCATGGACAAACCCCCCACACATGTCCCACCTCCACAATTTTCTGGCAGAGCGTCGGGCGGGCCGACAGCATGGCCAGGGCTCCCGTAGCCGCCCGCACCAGGGCGATTTCTTCCTCACCGGCGTACAGCACCATCAGCTTGATACGGTCGTTGGAACCTTCGTACAGGTCCTGGACCTGTGCCACAGGGAGGGTCATGGGTGGTGACAGTCGAACTTCCGTGTGTGTGTGTGTGAGTGTGTGTGTGAGTGAGAGTGGATGTGTGAGGGTGTGTGTGAATATAATTTTGCTTTGCCCTCTCATAACAGACAAAAGATTAGTGTGTGTGTGCGTGTGTGTGTGGTGTGTGCGCGTGCGCCTGTGTGTGTGTGTTTGTGTATATAAGGATGACTAAATACGAGACTTTTATTAAGAGTTTTACGCCACTAGCAACACAAAAAGGTCATAAAAGTGCTGAAGATCAGAGGTCTTACAAGAGAGCAACAAACACAAAAAAGGAGGAGAGATTGACAGGACAGCACCCGGAAACTACCCACTGGCAACACATTGAAGCATTTCATTCCTTGAATGAGATAAAGAAGCACGCCCATACGTACACAGTATAAAAGAACACAAATACAGACTGACACACTGCCCCCTCACCTTCTCACACATGACCATGTTGCACATACACTCCGTGGCTGCACGTCGAAGCATTTCATGTTCTTCATACATGTGATGTTCCAACATCGGCAGGCCTTTCTCGGTCAGAATGCGATTTCTGCTCTCAAAGGAAAACGAAAAGACAAAATCATCTTTGAGGGGAATGAGAGAAAAATCTCCTTACATCAGTAAAAACTCCTCATAACACAACAACAAATATACAGAAAAGAATTTTGTTTAGTTTTGGTATGGCGCTAGCCACACAATAAGGTCATGCACAGCACTGAAGATAATAGTATTACGAGAGAGTAACAAAAATAAAAAGGGAGGAGAGGAGAAGACCTTTCCAAAGCATCCGTCAACCGACGGAACAAGAACTTTTAATGAAATTTGTACAGTTCCATTGTTAAGGTCCTGATTTGTTTTATTTATTATATTTTAGTAAGCACTTCACTGCACTTGCAACATAATTAGGTCAAAAAAGTATGAAGATTAGAGGTGTTATTAGAGAGTAAAAAAACAAAAAAAGAAGGAGAGAAAAAGGACAACAGACGTTTGATAGGAAAGAAGGAGCAGACCACACCTGAGCACCTGCCAATCACTCACCTAAGTATTGAGAAAAGGGAAAAGCTGATTTACTCATTTGAGCCTATTCCCATGTACTTATGGGACGCCCAAGCAGTCCGGTGGCCTAATCCCGTGTATTTACTTGATGCGCTTTATTGATCGATATCTCCAGTATTTTTGAATTGCAAGCCAACAGTTGACCCACTTGTATTATTTCGTTTAAAATTTGGTGACGTTATGTGTGATACTTTTTGAGTTGTAACGGACTAAGTCAGTCACCCGTGCATTTCGACAACTGATTTGATTATAAATTGGGGGCAAAAAAAATGGTGTAGCCCCCAGACATTGCAATTTCAAAATATTGAGAAAACAAAAACTATTAGGGCAAATTAGGATGCAGTTTTCTTTTTCTGTAGGAGCATTTCTTTCTTTCTTTTGTTGAACTTTTTAAAATTATGAAAGCTTTCACAGACTTTTTGAGGTCAACGATTTAATATAGATCTACCCCAAAACTGACAGGCTGCAATGGTTGTTGGGTGAAAAATAGCTCAGGCTCAAGTGAGTTAACAGTGGCAATGGAAAGATGGGAAGTAAATAGAGCCTACCCCACTGCCTTTTACCTACATATGTTGTTGATATGAGACTAGCCCCTAGACCCTAGACTGTCCCAGGATCACACAGTTCTTTTACAAATCTATTTTTAAAATGACGAATTCAAACTTGGGCAGAAATCAAAAGTCAGCAGGACTATGCTAACCCTTGTCCAATCTAACCAACCCCAGAGTCTGAGTTTCAATAAAGAGAATCACATCAACACAAAAACAGTCATCTGTGAGGCTTGTTGTCAAAATGAGTTACTTCTCCCAATCCATGAATGGGGATGTCAGCCAAACAATCAACACTGGGGTCAAACTTGTAGATTTTTAATCTATGCTATTTTCTCTAAGTCCAGCATGTCTTGTATTAATACATACAGTCAAACCTGAGTAAGACGAAATCGCAAAGGAGCCCGAAAAAAATTCCGTTTTAGACATTTTTCGTCTTAGGCAGGGGAATTAAGAGAGAGATTGGTGGGGGGAGGGTTAAAGGCCCAGCCGGTGGGATCAAGAATCGCTTGTCCGATCAGCAAGCAGTGGTCAAAACTTCACACCTTTCATGCTATCCTGTCTGATAAAAACGTGCGTCAGTCTTACTTATCCAATTACCACCAGTGCGTGCCTTTCATAGGACCACTGTTTGACCTATTAAAAACAGACACGTTCGAACATCTCCTTTGCTTCCACCCTTAGCCCCACCCACCGGAGTAACAAGCACAGTGAACCAATGCCACCCCTCACTGCCATCATGTAACAACGATCCGAGGAACTTTTCTCCGCTGGCCGTACCAGGGCGGCAGGCTTTGGTCATTCTAATTTCACACCTCTGGCTTCTGGCTATCCAGGAAAGTTTCCGTAGTGGCTTGCTACCCGAGCACTCTCACGGGCAGTCGTGAGATTTCACACCCACACCATCCTGACATTCTTCATCGCTCAGGGCTCACACCATGGGGTAACATCTCACCCCAAATTGCACCCTTACTCTCCTTCCTCGCCGGCGGAAACTAACTTGCGAGATTTGATTCAAATCAGGGCTGAGCGGGAAAAGAATTTTCCTTCTTAGACAGGAGAAACCCTCGGAACGGAGTTGATTTTTCTTTCCGTCTCCCCATTGTAAAGGTGCCCGTTTTATACAGGTAATTAAAGAGGAATATAGCAAGGGGGGGAAAGGGGAGATTCCATAAAGACAGGTTTCCGTTTTCTACAGGTTTCTGTTAAGGCAGTTTCGACTGTACTTATATACTGCACAAACTCTACCCATAAATTTGACACGTTTATTTCCACAGGAGTAAAAGCTGAGACTTGACTCATTATGTCAAAACAGAAAAAGTTATATAGAGCTAGATAAGAGTTTAGTTTTAGTAAGAGTTTTACTGCCCTTGCAACACGATAAGGTCATATAAGTGTCAAAAATTAGAGATGTTACAAGATAGTAACATACATTAAAAAAAAGGAGGAGGAGAGATAAGGATGATAGATGTCTATAGGAAAGAAAGAGCAAACCACCCCCCCCAACCACTCACAAGCATTGTAAGAGTATGACAGACACATAAAAACAACAGTGGGGAATAAAACAAAGTAGGATCTACCAGCAGTGGGCTCCAACCACCCGCACCAACCTGAGAGAATCGCTGACCGATGAAAGGTTGGTGAGAGCCAGCAAAGCCTCAAAATTCTGCAGTCCTGACCGGTCAGCGTTGAGAAGGGACAGAAGTGGGCGTACAACCTCGTACATCTGGGAGCATGGAGATGGGCGGGCATTATATTCAAAAGTAAGCACAGCACATAACAAAGAAATATTAATTTTATGATAACATTTTATTAATCCCTGTAGGGAATTAGTTTTAAAATAGCAAACATACATACACCAATACATAAAATCAACTTTGCACTTTTTAACAAACGTTCATGATTTGGCACAACACCTTTTATGTTCATTTAAGAACATGTCTCCGGTTTGACTTTACTGAAAAAGATTAATTAAAAGCACAAAAGTTGTAAATTTTCAGTCCCCATGGACTCTCAATCTATGGAAATAGCCAAAGTTTGGTGGCCATTTTCTCACTAATGTGACTCACCCTTTGGCCCTGGAAGGCAAAGTGGGGGTCGGAGGTCACAGCAATCTTGGCCAAGGCGTGGGCGGCAAGGACAGAGCCGTTATCTGTGTTGTCCGACATCAGGTTCAGCAGAGACTGCGGATTCAGCATCACAACATTCCACCTCATGACACAGACACCAGAAATAGACCACTTTTCCAGTTTTAGTTGTTTTTTGGGGGGGGTTTTATAGTAGAGGTTTTACGGCGCTCGCGACTGCATAAGGTCATATGAGTGCCAAGGGGTGGATGTCAACAGAGAAGTTTTTACAGGGAATCGGGCCCACTCTGCTCACCTCTCCAGCTTTAACAGCACAAAGTCTGTTTCGACTTTCAAGGCACCCCGGAAATAGCGGGTCACAAGAATGTGACAACCATACAAAAGAAGTAGAGGAAAATGATGATAGGAAGGATTAGTAAAGAAAAAGCAGCAGTTCCCTGTTGTAGTTCAGGCAGTTATGAGCGTGACATTGTTGAATCAGCCCATTTACAATTCTACTGTGCATAAGAACGAATAATGTCCCCCCTTTGGGAATGGCCTAAAGACTCTTCAGTCAGTGGCACCGCCTCGAGGGGGGGGGGGGGGGGGGGGGGTTAGTTTGAGTAAGAGTTTTACCAGTGCTTCCACCAGCTGAAGCTGAAAAGTGAGGAAAAATCTGCTGGAGGTCTGGGGGCGAAGCCCCCCAAAGAAATTGAAATTTAGTGCTTTTAGAGAGTAGAAAATGGCATGTGGGAGACTGTTTGAAGATATTGCCTACAGCCCATAACATTTATTTTTTCACCAACATTTTGATCGTCTTGTTTGACTTAATCACCAGCATATATTTCCATTGCTGGCAATGTTTAAAAGCAAGTTCCCATTTCATTGCTACTATAATTCAATTAATTTGTCATCGCACCATTGATAGCAAGCAAACCTGGGAATAATGAAAATATGTACCTTCAAAATACGGTTGCGCAGCGTTTACCCAAATTTTTTCTCAATTTTCCAGCCTGAATGTCGCCTGTCACAACCTCGGAACACCACTTCGAATTATTCTTGATTTTACCTACGGCTGGATCGGGCCAATCACCCGACTCGATCGCCTGAAACTGAAAGCAAACACATTTATCTTTGAAGCGACCGAGTCGGGTGATCAGCGCGATCAGCCGATCCCATCTGTAGTGGGCACGCCCATATCAGCATATTTCTTTCATCGCAGCCCTTATATCGCGTTCACGTGCCGTAGAATCTTCGCATTGGTAATTTCTCTAGATCTAGATCTAAATTTGCGAAAAAAGTTTCTTTCCGACAGTAATTTTCTGTCTAAGATCACAAGTCAATTTACTTGATCAACGTGCAGATTTTCCAGCCGCGGCAACAACCCGAAGATAGACAGAAGGAATGAGTGAACGACAGAAAGGTTCGTCAGATTTTGATCCATCTGCAGGTAAAAAATGTACTGCCGACCAACACGCAATGAATGCATGGGACTGGGACATAGCGGTATAATGGCCGATTGCAGGAAATGCGCAATTTGGCAGGTTTCTGTAACTTCAACTTGTTGCCGAGAGAATTACCGTAAATATCCGTAACTTATACAAGACGATACGAAGGCGAGTACGAAATTTCGGCAGTCCTGCGCTGTCGCATTTTTTTTAACGGAGGGAGTTGATAATGATGGAGGAATAAGTACGGAACTGGCAGAAAGTACGGATTTCCGTAAAAATACGGAAGAGTGGAAACACTGTTTTACGGCACTTGCAACACAATAAGGTTATATGAGTGCCAAAGAATAGAGGTGTAACAAGACAGTAACAAACACAAAAAAGAAGGAAAAAAAAGATTAGGACGACAGATGTTGGACAGGAAAGAAGGAGCAAATGACACCAGAGCACTCGCTAATCCCTCACAGACACAGAACTACAAGGTTCCACCTCAGAGGAATAATCACACATTCAAACCTGCTGTAACGGCCACCTGTCCAAGACAACCACTCCCACTCTCCCTCCTTCCATTTTTTAATATCATAATGATACTGTTCAAGAGGTCCACCTGTTTAAAACAATCACTTTTCTGTTTCACAATGGGTGGCCGTCTTGGACAATTTCGACTGTACTAGAAATGAATTCAATCTAAACATTCTTACTCAGGTCCTTAACTTGTTGCCTCTTGGTGTTGAAATATTATATTTAATAATAATCATCATCACTATAATAATCACAATCAAGTTAAAATTATTATAGCGCAAATTCCCCCTCAGCAGCAAGCTCTATGCACCTTACAATCTATATATTACGTAGGACTACATAGTCAATAAGGACACCTCTTACTGTCGAAGCAACTGAGTTAATAAATGAAGATGAATCTCTTCGAGCTAAACTTGAACAAATAATGCCCATATGTGAGGGACTGTGGTGAAATCAGGTGAACGTCAAAATAATGAAACCAAAGAAACTGGCATTTTTCTGGCAGTCGGGCAATTTTTTTCTAATTTTCTTGTTTTGGCTAAACCCATTTTATGCCAATTTAAAAACATATTTCTCTGTGGATTTTACTGAAAAACGTTTTTCAGTTTTAAGGGACTCTCAAGCTATAGAAGTTACCAAACTTTCGACCATTTTCTCGTTAATTTTACATCTAAAACCAGGTGACCACCACTTCTACCATCGCAAAAATCTCAACGACTATTCAAGATAGGTGGATATTTCTTTCACAAAAAAAGCAAAGCAAATAAACAGGCTTTAAGATGATATCAGAAACTCCATATGCGCAAAAATGGAGAAGCGCCCGATTCCACCACGTCCTGATACACATGACCTTATACAGTCGCTTTTAAGGACAAGCCGGCTAACCCAGATTTCGGGGGTTTCCAGATATCTTGACCTACATCAAAAGTGGGCATTGCACTACCTATAGGAGACGTTTAGCTTCATTGGCGCGTGCATATTTGTTTGGTTATAGAGAAAACTCTCCTTGTCTTTTAAAGAAAGTGAACAAGGGGCAAAAACTTTACCTTCGCTTTTCTCAAAACATCAATTTTCGGGATAGCCCCCTTGTGCTTAAGAGTGACCATATAGCTGCGAGCACCATAAAAGTTTCACCAACCAGAAAATAGCGTGACTTTCCAGTTAAAATTGTGCATGTCCCTTAGCCTTACCTTGACACCTCCTTGTTGCACAATCAACCCTCGAAGACTCTCCTCTGTCGCAAGAGACATGTAGACTCTAAGAAAGAAGGTGGGGTGGAAAGGGGGAGGGGGATTTAGTGAAACAACAAACTTTGAGAGGTCAGAAAGCTTTGAGAGGTCAGACAAACTGAAAGGAACTGAAAGCTTGTTTTAGAAAGAGTTTAATGGCATTTGCAACACAATTAGGTCATAAAGTGCCAAACACGCGTCACTTTTTGCCCGATTCTGTTACCGTTAGTTAGCGTGACTCAGCAGCCCGCCGGAGCTCCCTGGCTCGGGGTCACGGGGTTAATGAGCCCTGAGGCGACTCTGCCGGTGTCGGTTCGGAAGTTCGTATTTTTTGACTATGTTTTTAACGAAATAACTTCTTCCCCATCCCACACAGCAAACCATTTCGCGGATGTACTAAAACCTCAATGTCTTGAGATTTATTCTGGGTTAGAATGGTTAATTTCTGTGGCTTAGTTTTTGTTCTAGACAAGTGTTTGTAGAGTACCCAATTTGTCCTATTTTAGTTACAAACTTATGAATAAATTATTGTTAATTTTAAAAAGGCATGACAGATCTCTCCAAAATCTGTGTTAAACTGACTACGAATATCATGTCTTTTACCATGAGAAATCTTAAATCTGCGCGAGTAGTAATAGTCAAGTTATAAGAGAAAAAAGATGCACATCTGCATATTTTAACTAAAGACGATCAGCGTTAGCTCTTATTTTACTATTAAACAAGAGAAAGTTACTCTGCGTTTGTTCATGAATCATGCTGTGTCTGTGGCAGCCTGCATACAACTAAAAAGATAATATAAGCGATTAAAAAAACCCACAAAACCGTGTAAATACATGGGTAGAGATAAACTTCTTGTATGGAATAAAAATAATGACAGTTAACACATTCATTCTTAGTTTTTGTGTCAGAAATATGCGCGGACACAATTATGAATGTAAAGAAATCAGTCACATTGTCAGTTATTGCAAATGGTCATAGAAACGAAAAAAAAGCTGGAAAAGTCTGGTGTTGATTCAGTGTCCCTGGAAAGCTAAAAATTATTCTTATAACCAAATTACGAGAAGTCATCCCTATTATTCAGTCAACTTACAAAACCTAGACTTAACGTTTTAAGAAAAGTAAGGAATTTCTAGAGTGTAACAGATACTGTTTGTGTATTACATTGAAGATGTATTCTGGCACTAAAATCGATTTGTACTTTTCATAAAGAAACTTCATGGTAACTTTTCTAAACTTTCGAGAAAATATGCAAAATTCACGATTATATTAGACACATAAAGTTGTATTTGGAGGAATTACTTCATAGCGAATTGTATGCCCGATGGATAAAGTTGCAAAATTACAGCTTTGTATTCTACAATTTAGCATTGCCGACTTCAGCGCGTCTAACGAAATAACCAGACAAGTTACAACGTCCGTTCTTTTTTGAGTCTCAAGAGCAGAAATACATGCTTAGGGTGCACTAAATGAGAATGACCATAAATACACGAATACACCTAAAATCGTACGTTGAAAAGTACCAAAAATTAAGTCGGCCCAGATAGAGCGGCGACAGGGAGCTGACCTTCGTGACCCCGACGTGATAAGGCACCCGGCGGGGAACCCCCCGCGGCAACTAAAATTCCACTGCCGGTGCGCCATGCAAAGACTAGAGGTATTACTAGACAGTAACATACAAAAAAATGAAGGAGGAGGGACAAGGACAAAAGATGTTTGATAGGAAAAAAGGAGCAAACCACAACAGAGTGACAATGATCTGAGATAAAATGGGAAAGTGTGGTATCCATGTAAAGCAATAAGCTTGGCCTGTACATAAATATGGCCGACATTAAACAGGTGTATGGTAAGAGTTTCATTCCAACTTTGGCCCCACACTCCCACAAACTCTGTGGGAGTATATATACACTGACACACACACATGCACGCACCCTCACATACTCACTCAAACACACACACTCACATGCACACACATACACAAACACACATTACACACACAGACATATATACACAATATCTCACTCAAACACACCACACATTACACATGCCCACACACACACACACACACATAAGCACACAAGCACACACACACACACAAGCACACACACACACACACAAACACACACACACACACGCACACACACACACACACGCACACACACACACACACACACACAAGCACACACACACAAACACACACACACAAGCACACACACACTCACCTGCACAACAGCTCTCTGCTGTTCTTGCTGTCTGTGGAGGAGAGGGCGACCAGGGCATTGATAATCCCGGCTTTGGCCAGACGCAGGAGTCTACTGGTCACAAACTCCGCTTTGTCCTGCACAAGGAAAGATAAAGAAACCACCGCTGCCACAAAAAGTTGACATCAACATCGACCGACCTTAATATGTACTACGAGGCAGGAAAAATTAACCTGTGGGGGGAGGGGGTATTGTTTATATTTCAGTTTAGTTTTACTTGAGGTTTTACAGCACTCGCAACTGCATAAGGTCATATAAGTGCCGAAGATTAGAGGTGTTAAAAGAGAGTAACAAATATAAAAAAGGAGTAGAGATAGAGACGATAGATTTTTTATAGGAAAGAAGAAGCAAACCACACCAGAGCACCCGCCAACCACCCACACAAAAAGTTTACATCAACATTGACCGACCTTAATTTGCAATAAGACTTTTTAAGAAGGAGGAAAAATTAACCTGTGGGGGGAGGGGATTGTTTGTGCTTCAGTTTCTCAAACCAACAAAAAATGTCTTAGAAGATACTTATTTTATTACTGTCAGGATTAGATGAAAATACCACAATGAAGAATGACAAGGGTTGGTTTTGAGGTGTATTATCATGGAAACATGTTAACCTGCTAGAAAGGTTTGTTTTCTTCAAAACAGTTTGATTCTTCTTACAACAAAGAGTGCGATCAGTTGCCAATGATTGTCTTTTCGTGTATGTGTTCTTTGTTAGAATACGGGTTAATATATGTATTTGAAAAGGCAGCTGTACAGTACGTTGAATGGGCCAGTATATGCAAAATGTAGTTTCAAATCTTATTTTATTATGAAGCTTTGTTTGTTAACACATCGAAACAATAATGATAATTTAGTGCTGGGAACAAGTAAGACAGACAGACAGAAACAACAGAGGGAAAGTACATAAGTAAGATCTTCCAGTGGCGCCTACTAACCACCCGCCACCAGGGAGTGAGCGCTGTAGAAATGAACTTTATTATTATCATCATTTTATTTTACTATTCAGTATCAGGTCTGGGGCAGTCATTGGTGATCATGGTACCCCAGTCCTTCCTGCTGTCTGTCCTCTTGATCAGCTCGATTTTTCTCTTTGTGTTATCATTATTATTATCAAGAATTTCCATATAGAGGTAACTCATGAGCCAGGTACAAAAACGCGCTAGTACATTAAGCCGAGCACTCAACACAACACAACACAAGACAACACAACGTGGCGTGCTGACCTTCGGGTGCTCCTCTGGGATGTGCTGTTTGGCAAACTTGGCCAGCTCCACAAGCTCAGGCATCACTTCCTGTTTGTCGTAGCTGTTGGTGCAGTTCACCAGCACCGTCACGCAAGCGTACGTCAGGTTACGCTCTTTCTCCTGAAACAAAATCAGATTTTAGTAGGAATTTCTCGGCGATAAATGTCCCCGCAAAAAAGAAATAGATGGCTCAGTGAGGGCTTTGTCAACACCAGGCAAGTCAAAAGAGATAAACAGACAGAGAGAAAGGAAGGGGGGGGGGAGCATGGGGGAGGGGGGGAGTGGGAGAGAGAGAGAGAGAGAGAGAGAGAGAGAGAGAGAGAGAGAGAGAGAGAGAGAGAGAGAGAGAGGGAGAGAGGGGGGGGAGGGAGGAAGAGGGAAGAGAGTGAAGGGATGTATCGTAGAGGAAATATTCCAAGAAGAGGGAAGAGAGAGGGAGTAGTGGGAGTATGGCAGATTAACTCACTTCAAACGGTTCACATAACAGTTGCGTGACCCCCGCCGCAACGCTCGCGACGGTTCCCACGAGCCCTGCGTGACCAACTTTGGAATTTTTTTTCCGCTGTACAAATCACGCACGGATCGCGAGACCCGCCTCGTACCCTTGTTTAGCCAAGCCTGAGCGACTTAGACTTTGTTTCGTATTTCTGGGGCCCGTAGTTTTTAAGTTATTGAAGGTGAAGGACAGTGACCCCAACTGGGGTTGAATTGACCGGAACTCGCGCTTTGTTTTTTTCTATACAGCTGATAGTAATCCGACAGTCACGTTGTAGTAACGGTCGAAGAAGTCGCATGAACAAGAATCACATAATTTCGCCATTTTCGATACTTCTGTACGTTTTACTAGTTCTTGTGTCTCAGAATATGATGTGTCTGATAGTAAGGATCCTGGATATATACCCAAACACTGCCCGAGTCGTAGTTCGACGACTAGATCTAGCACTGGTACTGGTGTTGTTGTTCGCGCAACGAGATCACAACGTCGTGCCGTATCTGTCTCATGTCAAACAGTGTATGGATCTGAATCAACGCCCAGACCAGCTTTTAAATTTTCACTTAACACTCACAGATGCATACAAATCAAAACAGAACACTTTGAACTTTTATTTTTGTTGTTGTTGTGAATTTCATTCTACCTGTTTCATCTCTGGAAATTTTTAGGAAAATCAAATTCATGCCAATTTTTAAAAAATCATACAAATTAAAGTATTAGTCTTAGACAACATTAGTTTTTTGTAACAGATTAAGCTTGAGTGTTTATTTACTGTGTCAAAAAATAATTACAATAGGGTAATTCTGAGAGTTGTGGTGATTTATTGAAATACTCCCAAAAACGCCAGTCTTCAACGCTAGTGACTGATGAAAAGGCCCAGTAATGAGTTAATAATTTCAGGAAGAAAAAATAGAAAGAAGGAAGACGAAATATTTCCAGAGAGGGGTGATATTGCCTTAAATTAAATATTTCTGAAAGAGGAAAAAGAAAGGATGTATTAGAGGGGAAACGTTTTCCAAGCAGAGTGATGAGTTGTTTAGACACTGTAGGGGAAAAACAGTTAATTAATCATAGAGGGAATATTCCAGAAAAAGAGAACACTCGTCATAATTGGAACATTCTAGGAAGAGGAAGCAATTTCCCTATAGGATATATTCTATGTAGAGACATTATGTGTCGTAGAGGAAATAGAGGATCTTTCGTAGAGGGATTTTCATTATTCCAAAAAAGAAAGGGCATGAAGAGAGAAGTATCAGAGAGGAAATGTTTCAGGGGGAGAAAAGATTGAAGTGAGTGGAAATTTGAAGAAAACATTCCATGTAGAACGAGGACACACCTTAAAGGATAAGGGCTGGTATGTACATTGAAACCGAACTTGCTCTAATGACCACCAGTCTAAGAAACCGCCTCCACAAAAGATCACTTCCCTCCTGTTTTAATTTTTAAACATTATAATGACACTGTCCACCTCTCTAAGGTGACCAATTTTCTCCCAAAAAAATGGAAGTCTTTTTGAACAGGTTCAACAGTGTATTCCTTTTCCAATACCAAAATCTATTATTAAAATCACACTAAACAGATCATCCTTTCTCATGATCTTGTTTGTACCTTGGCCAGATCAAAGATAGACTTGACAGCGGGCACATCGTTCACCAGTTCCTCCTTTATCTCCGCCTGCAGCGTCAGATAAGCCAGGCCCTCCGTTGCCCACTTGCGCAGATCCACGTTGTGGCTGGCATTTACCAGGAACCTGTAAAGACACAGAGGGATCATGGGTGGTTGGAAGGTGATTTGGGAGTGGTTTGCTCCATCTACTTCTTATCAGCACAATTATGATTGTTAACAAATAATAAATAAAAATAAAATACATTACACTTTATTGATTCTCATGGGAAAATGTGGTTACAATGGCAAACATACATCCAAAAAGTTGGAGATATACAATATTACACTTTTTATGTAGAACAATTTAACAAACATGCCGATGTTGGTCACTACTGTGTAACACCCTGTTCTTCTCAGCTTGACCTTACTGTGTCTTGCTCAAGGACACACCTCAATGAGCTCCCATCTAAACCCTGAGTCCCCAACACGTTATTTTCGAGTCTGAACTCACTATTCACTCAGCTAGATTTTCAGGTAATAATAGATCTCTATTACACTGACTTGTCTATAAACTACAGCTCTGCAAAAGTATAAATCAGACAGCTGATTCATCTGCAGAACAGTGTTTTGTTCTAGTAAGAGTTTTATAGCACTAGCAACACTATGAGGACATATTAGAGTAGAAATTAGAGGTGTGACAACTGAGATAACAAACACAAAAAAAAGAGGAGAGATCAGGATGATAGACGTTTGATGGGAAAGAAGGAGAAAACCACATCAGAGCACCTGCCAACCAACTGTAAGGAGTGGTGTGAGATATCACTATCTAAGACAGCTGGGATGGAGTGATACCAGACTTATTGACAGAGCTCAGGCACACCATATTCCACACATTGTCATTCAAGGAAGACAAACCAAAAACATACATAACATGGTACAAGTGCACATGCAAATAGAAATTCCCTTTTGCATTTCCAGGTTCTTTTCACATCTCATCACGTCTTGGCACTTAACAGGAAAATCAAAACTCTAATAAAACATAAATTTTCCAAATTTACGCTCAGCATTTCTCTATATTCATTTCACTTACTAATCCCCAATTTGCACATGAAAACACAGCATTTTGTGTTTTAAAAGTCTTATGTAGCAGTTCCAAATACAGGCAAAAGCACACAGGTTCTTATTTGTACTCTGTATCATTCAAATAAATATGATATTTAAAATATTAACAATCCAACACTAATCAACGCAGTGGAACCAGAAGCTCGTCAATTTTTGGGCATATGGAGTTATAGGTGTCATCTTAAAGGTTGTACATTTGCCTTGCTTTTGATGAAAAAAGAAATCTAATTATCTTGAATAGAAGTCGAGATAATTGTGATTGAAGGAGGGATCGCCGGATTTCAGAAATAAAATTAGCTAGAAAATGGCCGCTAAAGTTTGGTGACTTCCATAGCTTAAGAGTCCTTGGAAACTGCAAATTTACATTTTTTGTGCCTTTAATCAATGTTTTTAAATAAAATCCACACATAAAAGTGTTTTTCAATGAACATGCAAGGTGTTGAGCCAAATAACAAAAATTTGGAAAAAAATTCCAAATTGGTTGAAAAATGCAGATTTTTCGGATTCACTATTTTGACGAGCGCCTGATCTCACCATGATGCAACACAATTACTATTATTCTATGGATATGAAAATGAAGATATCTTTTATCTTAACTTTTCCACTAGGCATGAACTCATAAAACAAGAGATGATACATAAGCTGGAACAAAACTGAACAACAAAACGAGGTGATTTCTGCAGAAATTACAATACTTCATTTATTCAAAATATGTCCCGTCTTAAGGCCACCTCAAAGAAAGTTGCAAACACTGACAATCAGACGTAGATGGCGTTGTGCACACTGTTGTAAAAGTCTTTGTCTACAGAGCAGCAAAAGTTAAATGTTACATCAGCAGTACCATATATTCCTGTACAAAAGCAGTACCATACATTCCTGTACAAACTAAGCCCTGAGATGAAAACATGAAAAGGAACTAAATGACACAATAAATATTCATTGGGTGAGCTGAAAAAAAAAGGACACAGAATTGATTATAAAAATACCCTCTCTTCATTTAAATAATACATTGTGAATAAAAGCACAAAAATGAAGTGACCACGATTCAAAGCTTATCTTACTTGCGGCATATCCGAGCCAATTTCTCGGCAGATCCGTCAGCCATGGGCTGCATGCTGGCATCAGTGCCGCCAAAACTGCCGAGCTTGCAGAGACCCTGGAGTGAAAAAAGGCAAGAAAAGTTTGGTGGAATTACTGTCTTAAGATATCAAAATGTTGTGAAGTGGCTTTCACAACTTTATTCATGTAAAAGCGGTGTTTTGTAATAGACTTAAACATCTCTGTTTTAGTGCCCTCTTTAAGCACACAGCAAAACAGCACAGGGGAGTGAACACCCGCAAAGAGTTGGGCCAATGACACGCTGGTACATTCAAAACAGCACAGGGGAGTCAACACCCGCAAAGAGTTGGGCCAATGACACGCTGGTACATTCAAAATAGCACAGGGGAGTGAACACCCGCAAAGAGTTGGACCAATGACACGCTGGTACATTCAAAATAGCACAGGGAAGAAAACAAACCTGTGAGGATCTAATCATTTTCATTATTTCCTTCAGAACATTTTCAGTCGAAAAAAATAAAAAAATGTGTACATGATTTTTTTTTTTTATTACTGATGAGAGAATCACAGCTTTATCTCATCAGAACAATGCCAGACACCCAGACTTGCCAACCCCTCCATGACGAAAACAGTAATTTGTTTTCATTTTGTGCTTTTTTTTTTTGCAAGTGTTTTTCAGCACTCGCAACTGCAAAAGGTCATATGAGCGTGCGGGAGTGACACATTAAACGTTTTTCAGCGGGTAGGAAAACTTGAATTTTGACCAGGTTGCGGTCAAAGCCTACTTTTATCGATTTTGGACAACCAAAGGATCTTTAACATGCGCAACTTGCACATGAAACCTCCAAGATTTTTCGCCCTTGGCCGAGAAGGCTAGGCGTAGATCTTTCCTACCATAATATCAGGGGTGTGGCTGAAAGACAGCAGTAAGAAGGAACGAAGAAGTAGCAGTAGAAAGAGAGAAAGACTACAAAAAGAGCCAGGAGCCCAGAGAAGGGGGCAAAGGAGGTGAGGGGGTGGGGGCAGAAAGTGGAGATGAACGAAAGCAGACGACAGAACATTGCTAGAGCAGTAAAGGAGGTGAAAGGAGACAATTTTGGATAAGAAAATTTTCCGTCGTTCTCTGGATTCAAACCCGGGACCTATTGAATGAGAGGTGAACCCCTTAACCTCAAGAGCCCCCTCTCAGGTTTACCTCAAGACTCCTCCCTAAAAATCGGAGTTTGGTGGGGGGGGGGGGGGGGGTGGGGGGAATTGGTAGGCTCCAGAACTTTAGATTCAGATTACATTATATACAAATCCTGGCAAATAGTGCATAGCAAATACACACAAATAAAATATGTACTTTCACTTCATTTATGAAAAGTCGCTCAAATCATGCAAATAAAAGTGTGTTTTTGCATCACTTATAATAAGTTGCACAAATATTGCAAATAAACATAATTAATCTGTGTATTTTCACTTTATTTACAATAAATTGCGTACAACTGAAAGAAACAGAATTCCAGAAAAAAAAGCCTGATTTTATGCAAACCTGATCGGAGTTCTTCCACAGGCCAAAAAAATAGACATATTTTCAAAAATCGCAAGGCTCCGTACGGTTTTATTGTAGTAAGTTATCATGAGTGAACCCAGGAGAGCCACTCACCACAAGTGCACGGACTCTGATGTGGTCCTCGGCAGACTGGTACAGCTTCTTCAGAATGGGCACCGCGTCCTTGAGGATGCCGCTGCACTTGTCTTTCTTCTGCGCTGAGCTGACAATTGCCTCAACAGCCACCAGCTGAAAGTGAACAATGGACGATCCCATGAATAATTAACTACTTTTTCCTCATAGACAGAAATAAAGAATTTGAATGTTTCTTTTATTCTTTTTTTATAGACATATGCACAGTAATTTTTTTCGTGATAGTCTCAGGACCGGAGAATGATGGATTCCTGAATATCAAGTTACTCACTTATCTTTAACATATGTGAGGCGTCGTGGTGAAATCAGGCACTCATCAAAATACAGAAATCGAAGAAATTGACTTAGTCCATTACAGCTCTAAAAGTACTGCACATAATTTCCGTAAATACGCGAAAATCGGCTCAAGTGTTTTAATAGCTTTAGATCTTTTCAATGCCGCTATAGTGCAAAACAAGCAAGTTTTCTTCAATTGCACCATAGCCCGGTCAAGTAGCTGAGAAAGGTTGGTGCTGTAGGAAGAAAATAACAGCAAATAAACCACTTTGAACCCAAACTCACCTGATACTGTGGGTTGTCGCTGTCTGCCAGAGAGAACATGAGAGGCACCACACCCTCTAAGGAGAGAACCATGCTGCCAACCTCATACGGGCCCTGTCAACAGCCAGCAGGAAATATGTTTTATTTTGTTTTAGTAAGTGTTTTTCAGCACTTGCAACACAATAAAGTCATATAAGTGCCGAAGATTAGAAGTGTTACCCACACAAGAAATGTAACAGAGTTTGCATATTTGCCTGTGAAGGTGCATGTCCACCTATTAGATATATGCAGGCTTGCCAACTTTTTCAAAAACCAGTCAGGGACACCCAATATCATGACATCTGATTTCATAAGTACAAACATAATTCATACCTGCCAACATTGCCTGGGCTAAAATCTGTAGTTGGACGCAAATTTTTGTCAAAAAATCTGTAGTTGACCTAAAAAATCTGTAGTAGGCTATATTACCTCTTGTCGCATGCTTAATTTGGGACCCTTATCAATATTTTATTTTGACCCACATCAAATATGCATGATTGTGTTTGCGACTTCAAACAAATGTAGAAAATGACAAAAAGAATAAAAACCAAAAAAAAAAAAGAAGACAAATATGAAAACTACCAGAGGCATTTACCCTATTAGTAGATTAGTAGTTTGTGCAGTTCCTGTCCTATTCATACCTGCACGCACACACACAAATGAAACCAATCCCCCCCCCCCCCCCCCCAAACAAAAAAAAACAGAAGCAAAGAAGAAAAGATGAAGAAAAGGTGGGCCTTGGATGACTTAGGCCTAGCCTTGGCCTTTTGTCTTTGCAGTTTACAAGGAAAGAGTATGACGGATCCCGAGTCCACACAAGGCCTGCACCAACACGCGTTTTGCAGAGAGTTTTCTAGATCTAGATCTAGTGGTAATAAAAAATTTAGAATACTAAGATTTGCTTCCAAGTTCAGTTTTTGTCCCCTGGTGTTGCCTTCAACCCCCCCCCCTCCCCCGAAAAAAAATAATCCTCCCCCCATTCCGGAGTCCTATACTACGCAGCGCTCAGACTTTGAATGAACTTTGGTGACCCCTTCAAGTGCCGGTGCTCACAATGTGATGGAACGCGCAAGTTCATTGACCGGTCACAATGGCGAACCCGACAAGACGCTTGTATAACTATAACTTTCTTTTCTTTTCTTTTTTTTTTTCACAAGTGACGGCACAGGACAAATATTGATTTATTTTCAAGGCGACACAGCGTTTGCCATGCACAGCCTGCATGTTGTTACAATTAATGTTGCGTTATCAAACTACTACCAGCAAATTTGTGGGTGGTAACGAAAGTGAAAGTATATCTTGATTATCCCGATCAAACGTCGGTATCACGCCCGCTTGCCACCATAGCCGCCTGTCTGCGTGAAGAAACATACTCTCGAGGGAGCCGAATGAATCACAATCGCGACCGGCAAAAATGAACTTACGGCGTTATCGGATTTGGTTTTCAAATATTCGATAACTTTCTCAAATTCCCGGGTAATTCCCAGGGCCTGGCAGTCACCCTGCTGAATCCCGAAGTCGGCTTCATCTCAAAATCGGTGGATCGGTAGTTTGACCCAAAAGTCGGTGATCTACCGATTTTTTCTGTAGGGTTGGCAGGTATGATAATTACATCAAATGAGACTGGTTTTGGTGTAGGGTAGTAAATCTCACAAATTCTCGTTGCCAAATCCAGGACTGTAGCCCTATCAAGAAACTGCCTGACAGCAGGCAAGTCTGCGTAAGGAAAATGCTCCAAGGGTGGATTCCACAATACTTGGTTTGGTGGCCTACTTTCTGGTAGATCAGTCCGACAGGTGCAAGAGAGCTGAACAGAAGGCCTAGATAGTACAGAGAAGATGCGATCCTTCCCCTCCACCCCCCCCCCCCCCCACACACACACCCACCTTGCATACAGGTATGGCACTCCCGATTGGTGGGATAGCCAGCTATTCATATCACTTTGGGAATCAAAGATGACAGAGTTGAAATTGCTTCATGCATTAAGATAACATTATATTCATTTCTACAAAAAGAAATTTACTGCAGCATGGCAAATACATACAAGCACACATCAACACACATGCACACTCACACACACACACACACACACAAATAGTCACCGGATTAAAAAACAAAATTATGTTCTTCTCGCACACAAGATAATGACTGAATATGCTCGTACTAATGACGATATGAATGAATTTTTATACAAGTTGGTTGAAGCAATTGTTTAGTTTAGTTTTAGTACAAATTTAACAGCACTTGCAGCACAATAAGGTCATAAAGGTGCCAAAAATTAGCAGTGTTAGAAGAAAGTAAACACAAAAAATGAGGGGAGATAAGGACGATAGATGTTTCACAGGACAGAAGGAGCTGCAAACCACACAAGACCACCTGTCCAAGGCAACTCTTAATCCAAACACTAAAGGTTCAAGCATGTAGAAACATTTGCTTTACCTGCAGCAGAGAAGATATGGCGGCCACAGCCTCAATCTTAGATTCAAAAATGTTGTCTGAGAACAAATCTCTGGAGAGAGGTAGAAGATTACGCATAGATTAATCTAAATGTACCATTTTATTAACTTAAATGTACCATATCATCACTATCACAAGCAATCCACTTTAGACCAAATTTTGAAAATTTTTAACTTCAACACACTCCCAAAGTTTTCATAAAGATGCACTTTTCAGCATCCCTAAAAATTCAGATAAATGCTTAGGTCAAGGCTTACTATTTTCTTGCTTTTCAGGATTCCTTATAAGGAATGGAACAACACGATAAAAACTAGGTTTTTTGTCTCTGGTGTAAAAAGTACCCAAAACAAACTTCAGCTGATTGCTTGTGACACCAACGATACAATCATTAAAAAAAATATATATATATAGTTCTTTTGAGGGGGGAGGAGGAAAGGTGGAGTTGCTCACTAGCTAAGAAGTAAAGGAGCAGAGGTCCGTATGTGTAAATGGAGTATAGGTGAGGGGGGCATGTGAACTTTATGAGCATGAGTGAGTGTGTGAGAGTGTGGGTGAGTGTGTGAGAATGTGGGTGAGTGCTTGAGTGTGTGTGTGTGTGTGTGTGTGTGTGTGTGTGTGTGTGTGTGTGTGTGTGTGTGTGTTAGTGTAGGTGAGTGATTATGAATGTGCCAGTACCTGGGCAGAGAGTGTGTGAACCTGGCGGAGAGAGCTAATTTTGCCTGACTGTGAGTACAGGAGTGGAGAATCTACAGACAGTGGCCAGCACCGAAAGAGACCAGACGAAAATCTGAAAAGTCTGCATGGAAAAGTCGATGCACAAATGCGCATGACAACCATTTCCCTTTAAACTTTAAATGAAAAGAGAAACAACTTTGTGAAAGTAGACTATGAATACATTGCTGAGCTGACCGACCTGAAATGCTCCTGACATTTGTCCTTGAACTTCTCTCGCAGCTGGTCGCTGATGAGGTCGTCGAAGATCTTGGAGAGGGCCACCGAGGCGTGCATGCTGGACATGGGTGTGGTTGGCAGGGTCTTGAACTCCTTCTGGGTGCCAGCCACTGTCAGTAGGTTCTCCACACCTGTACAGAGTCAAGCAAAATTAACCCCCTTTGGCCCATGATAGAAAAAAAAAAATTCTTAAATACAGCCTGGTTTCTATGGCCCATGACAGAAAAAAATGAAATTCTTAAATCTCAAATGCAATAAAAGGGACAGAAAATTTGTTCTGTTCAGTTGGGTTTTCGGTTTAAAGAGGTAACTTAAATAGAAGAAAAGGAAAAAATTGGGGATTATCATTGTGAACTCTATGAGCCCCAATAATAAAAATCACAGAAAACATCATAATGATATATCTTTGCCACTAGAGTACCGGAGTACTGTTGGAATAAGCCTCTATGGTCCACGAATAAGTATAACTGAAATGAAAATTGTCTTTTCGTGTCAATAGTGCTATGCTCTAAGCGTTTTCCAGGAACAAATGGATCAACTCTTTTTGTTCTACAACCATTACCAAGGTCAATCTGTAAGTTCTAAATAAAAATCAGGAGACAGCGCTAGTATAAAAGCACAGCTGGCTAACTTTCTGGTCTACTCATCATCATCCAAATCAGTAGGGTCTTTTTGCGTGTTAAAATGTTTTGAAGAAATTTATTGTATGATAAGAACATAACACCATCCATACAAATGATTTTTTATAAGATCTACAGAGAACTACATTGCTGTGGATTCTTTAACTCTTTCTGAAACAAGTGCAGAATGAATAAAACTTTTTCTAATAATTATAACTTTTTCTACACACAATAATTTCATCATTTATATACAATATATAGGCTGGTGGCACAGTGTGAAGTGAATGGCATAGAAAAAGTTAATACCATCCATAGATAGCTGGAGCATTAAAAAGAAATTTACCCTCCATGGCCCAAAGCCCAAATTTAATTCAAATGAAAATTGTATCTTAACACACAGATTTTTTTTTATAAGGGCATTTGGTACAATGCGAAGGGTCCAAAATCATCACACCACAGGTGCCAGGTTGTCAGGCTTAAGATGAACAGAAATTTCCATACACATGAACTCTTATGAGAAAATCTATTAAGTTTTCGAAAGCGTTATATTGGCACTCGCAACACAATTAAGTCGTATAAGTGCAGAAGATAAGAGGTGTTACAAGAGAGTAACAAACACAAAAAAAAAAGGAGGAAAGATAAGAATGATAGTTATTTGACAGGAAAGAAGGAGCAAGACAGTGACAAACACAAAAAAGAAGGGTGAAAGAAAAGCATGATAGACGTTTGATAGGAAAGAAGGAGCAAACTACACCAGAGCACCTGCCAACCACCCGCAGCAAGTCAAACATTCTGGGCTCACCCTCTGTATCCAGGAAATGTTTGGTCCAGTCCGCCCCTGTGCGCGATACCACATTTTTCGTGATGAGCTCCATGGCAGAGTCACGGCCATGGGCAGTCACTTTGGCACTGGGCAGCATCTTTACCAGTCCCTGGAACACTTCTTTGAGGAAAGCCTGGGCCTCCGCACCTGTAAGGCACAATATTCTTAATGCTACAAGATCAAAAACTCTCTTTCCCCTAAATTGTAACTCAAGAGGGAGGCCTGAGCTGCTTCCCCTGTAAGGTACAACATTTTTTATGCAACCTGATCAAAAGTTACTCTTTCCCCAAAATTGTAACTGAGATGTTTTATGCCCCCCATCAAGACAAGGCCAGAGTGGATACAGCATCCCAGCAGAAGACAGAGACTCAAAAATTTCTTCTCACATCTGTGTGCAACAGCAAAGCATCTAACCATTCACCACATATGCCCGTTATCTTTTCCCAACAGTCTGAAGTATGACAAGTTTGGCAGAAGGGAACAACAGTGTAAGTAAAAATTGAATGCTATTTGTTACCAAAAACTTATGAATCGATAAGGACCATAAAATACAATGTTTTAGTAGAGGATTTCCGGCACTCGCAACAGCGTAAGTCATAATATTAGCGCCAAGGGGTGGATGTCAACAGAGAAGTCCCTACAGGGAATCAGGCTTACTCTGTTCACCTCTCTAGCTTCAAAAGCACAAAAGTCTGTTTCGACTATCAAGAACCCTGAGAGTGTCACAAGAGTGTGACAAAGATACAAAAGAAGTAGAGGATAAATACCGATAGTAAGAATTTGGAAAGAAAAAGCAGCAGTCCCCTGTTGCAGTTCATGCACAGTTATGAGCATGACACTGATGAATCAGCAGCCCATTTACAATTACAATTCTACTGTGGATAAGAACATGGTTAATGTAGCAATGCCAACGAAAATTTTAATTTTCACTTTACCCCTTTTTTTTTTGGTACCTAAGAAAGAATTTTCAGTTCTAAGAATTATGCTTCTTGAATTTTAAGAATCAGTTCATAAATTTAAAAAATTATGGGGTTGTAAAGGTCGGCAAAATATGGATGACCCACATATAGGAAAATACTCCTAAAAAGTGGACCACGCAGTAGCAGATTCTGTAAGAAAATCGACGATATCTCGGTAACTAATCGGAGTGTTCGAGAGAAACTTGGCTACCCGATGTGTTTTTGAGTGTAGAAATGATTTCTGCAGTCAGATTTACTACCAATTTCGTAGTTATTTTGTTAAAATTAAAATTTTGGTGTACATATTACGATTTTGCGAAAAAGGGATGTCGGGATGAGTCCATTTTATTTATAGCATCGTATCACAACATGGGATCATTAAGAATATATTCGGCAGCGTGACTAAATAATTGCAAAGCTTTTTATGATGACTTTAGACCATGCCAACCGTAAAGGATAAGTTAATTCAATCTAGCATGCCGTACAATTAAAAATTCTTTTTCGCCGTTGGGACGTGAACACCCCGAGACGAGATAACCTCGCCTCGGAATACCCCCATTGCGATGTTACAGGGGAATAGAGAGAAAAACAACCGGATGCGCGAGCCCGCCATTGCCCTATTTCAAGTGACCAATGAACAGGCCCGGAATAGTCATGGCGGGATTTGTATGTCACATACATTTGCCACGAGAGTGAGGGGAAAATGGCCGGTCTCTGTGCGAAGCCGCTTTGGATAGGGGGGTAGTAGTGCATTTATGATCGGGTTTAAACAACTACTTGACACAGAACGTTCAAATTTGAGCACACTATAGAGGATAGATAGATCTATTACCATCTCGGCGTTGAAATTCAAACTCCTTATACTTTTCGGTGTACACGATACGAAAGTGTTCCCGACACCAAAAGTATAGGTTAATTTATGTGTACGAACTTCAACGTCCACATATCATTAGTTTGCCCTATTTTCTGATTGGTTGCCGAGTTTCATTCGGATTGATTCGGAAATAGAGCAGACCGAGGTTGACAAAGTTAGTCACCTACGCTTCGGCCGGGTCCGCAAAATCGCCCGTAAACGGGGACCAAATTTTCGCCGCGCGGGAAAGCCCGATTGGCATTGCTAGTTAATGTCCCTCCTTTGGGAATGGCTTAAAGACACTTCAGTCAGTAGCATTGCCCTGAGGGGTGAAAAAATATGAGTATTTAAAATGACCTTGGTGATGTGGAAGGGGAGCCAAATACCCAAATGTACTCAAGAGTAGGATGACAAAAGATGCAAAGATGGGAAGGGGAGGATGGAAGAAAAACATCAAAAAGAAAAAAAATGAAAAGAAAAAGCAGATTAGGAAAAAGACGGAGGAAGAAAAAAAATTGAATGAGAAGAATGAGAAAGTGTAGGAAGGAGAGGAGGGAAAAAAATGAAGAAAATCCAGATATACATACCTAACTGCAACTGTGGGTAGGGCTTGCGTACGCCCTTTTTCTTCTCCTCCTCATGTTTCTGCACGCTAGCAATATACTGGTCCAGCTCCGTGTAGTAGCTTATCAGGTTCTGCACCAGCAGCGCTACAGACGAAGACATCTCTTCCGTTTCCGCCGACATCAGACGCAAGATGGTAGGCAGATCCACTTCTTTCAAGACAGCGGCACACTGTTTGTCCATATTTATGTACAGAATTAGATCAAACAAGACACTATATATTTGTCAAAGGTGGCAGGGGTTGTAACCTACTGTTCAAACGAAGCATGAACAACACAAGCCAAATTTTCGTGTTGTAACCTTCCAGGCTGAAAGGTTATCTGCGAAGCAGGATCTCTGCTTCAATGTCCATCACTGACTGGACTAAGCAAAATAAGTGACAAGTGAAGAAAAATAAAATTACATTAAAACGAAAGTACAAGACACCCCCCTCCCCTTTTCAGAAGAAATCCGAATTACGGTTATCTGCATTACAGCACTGCATGATGCTAACCATCCATCCCAAACTGCTGGGAGACTGTAAGACACCAAAACGAAATAACAGACAGGGGAAAGGAAAGCATAAAGACTTACCAGACCTGCAGAGGAGAAAAGAAAGAAGAGGTTCGCCTTATTCAGGTGACATCGAATCATATCATATCTCTTGTAGAAAAAGTGAATGAATAAATAAAAATAAATGAGAGAAAAAGAAACTAAAGGAAGATCTGAAAAGTGAAGTGAGGGGGGGAAAAAATAAAAGAATGGAATGAATATCAAGAAAAGAGAAGTGAAGATGAAGCTGTTCAAATTCCCCTACACCCATCACAAGGAGATATTTACGAACCCGCAAGGAGCAATTTACAAACCCACTTTCCGTGATTTTTCTTCTTTACTTTGTTTTATAACTTACCCTCTCTTTGCTGTCCTTTGACAGAGTAGCAAGCACACGCACCGCTGCTTGGACTATCTCTGGCTGCCTCTCTGACAGGACAGCTTTCAGCTTCGACAAACCGCCCTCACGTATGATCATGTTGGCTCCCACTTCCTCTCGACCCAGAACCACCAAATTGTTCATGCCCTAGAAGAAATTACCACTTACATAAGATTAGAAAGAACACACTGATACAGAATGCTTTGGTTCCTCTAAAAAACCTACGTTCATTATTTTTTAAATTGTTTTTTCTTAAACTTTATTTTTAACTTGAAAAATGCATACCTCACAAAAATATCAGCCAACAATGACTTTCAGGTCATTTGTGTCAAAATCGGAAAAACGAAAAGATATTTTTCATTCCGGTGCTATGACTTGATCAAATGATTTGTTACAAAAATACTGACAAAACATTGTGCTGAAATAAATAAAAGTAATATTAGAAAAAGACATTTTTCTACTCGTAGGCAATTTCTATTGAAATAACTTTTAGCTCAACACCCTTTATGTCCATTTAAAAGTACATTTCTGTGTGGAATATGCTGCCCTAGTAACCCAATCGGGAACATTCAATGTTATAACACCAGATTATTCAATGTTATAACACCAGATTATTCAATGTTATAACACCAGATTATTCAATGTTATAACACCAGATTATTCAATGTTATAACACCAGATTACGCAGGGCTGGTGTTGGTGTAGAGCAAGAAAATGTCCTCTCAAATTCCCAATTGCCAAATTTGGGAAATTTGGGACAGAAGACAAGGCTGCATACAGTCTATCTAAAAAAAAAGCTTCAACACTATCAGTGTCTTTCAGAATGAACAAAGTGAAATCCAGTCTTAACAGGGCTCTGGGCAAACGTGTAAAAAGCCACAGCACAAAACAAATCAACTTTGGCCCATCTTTTGGTCTCATTGGTATAAAAGTATGGAGGGAAAGGGATGTTGCCACATGGCTTTTCCACAAAAGATTTTTTTTTTTATTTCCCAGTAATTCCCAAAACTTTCTTTGATCCTGTATTTGACAAAAATGGCAAACCTGAAGTCTCTTCTCTTTGTCACCAGATGCATCAAAGGTGATGTTGAACATCTGTGAAACTTTGTGTGTTGTGCTGTTCTGCTTCTTGATCTGCAATCAAAAGTCAAGGAAAACTTTCTCAACAACACACTTTAAAAAGGTTAAATAGAAAGTAGTTTGTGACCAAATGTACCATTTCAACACTTTCAGACATTCCCCCCCAAAAAAGAACAATTTTTACTCTACAAAGAGAAAAAACATGCTCATTAACGAAAACACAAATCTATTTATAAGCCACTCAGATGTTCTAAGCATTTTAACCATTTAGCTCCTGGATATTTGTCCTGGTGCATACCCCAACAGCATGGAATGACAACAAAGGCTAGCCCAGGGTAGAGAAAGGTGGAAAGTGTTTGTGGCCTATACCCTGGTGCAGGGTGAGAAAGGCAATGAGGATGGTGATAATAATGATGTTTGGAAATCCTGGAAAAGGAAGAAATCACCTTAAAATATCATACATAATGTTTTTTAAAAATTCACTAAGCATAGTTTCTTTACAAAATGATCGGGGTAAAACGCAACTTTATTCGAAAAAAATACTGATACAGCAAAAACCGGAAGACAGACAGAAAGAATTAATAAATGAAAGGAATGGGGAGAATTACCTATCACTTAGTTGTAGATTTTTGCCGATTTGCATGTTAAAACCTATTGGTGACCGAACCGCACAGAGAAACAATTATTGTTGAGGGTGCAAAATGCGCAATATGGCAGTTTCTAATACAACTTATTGCAGAGAGTTACCATTTAATATCCGACAAGTTACAGAGGCACGTACTGATCCTTTGCTACGGAATGCCGATAAGTTAATACTGTCTTTCTCTTTTTCTTTAGTGCATGGAGTTGATACGTTGATGCAGCAAGTACAAAACTTTCGGAACGTACAGATTTCCAACAAAAAAAACCCAAGGAAGATTGGAAGCACTGCAGAACGAGCTACTTGGCGCCAATCACAAATCCAGTTTACCCCCGGGGCGGTGCCACTGACTGTAGGGTTTTAAGGCCGTTCCCAAAGGGGGGGACATTTTTCGTTCATGCACAGAACAATTAAAAATGGGCTGATCCATCAATGTCACGCTCATAACTGTGCCTGATCTACAACAGGGAACTGCCGCTTTTTCTTTCCTAATCCTTACTATTGTCATTTTCCTCTACTTCTTTTGCATGTTTGTCACACTCTTGTGACCTGCTATTTCCGGGGTGCCTTGATTGTCGAAGCAGACTTTGTGCTGTTGAAGCTAGAGAGGTGAGCAGAGTAAGTCTGATTCCCTGTAAAGACTTCTCTGTTGACATCCACCTCTTGGCGCTCATATCATCTTAGGGCGATAACATAAAGAACGCCGAGACTTAAGCGGCTGAAGATCGACGCGGACAGGCGCCAGTAGGTGTCTGCTTGACTCAACATAGAGGACGCCTAAAGCCTAGATATATAGATATAAGAAAAAAAATTACACAACACAGCTGGTATTTATGAAGCATTTATTTGGGGATAAAAAAATCGAAATTCCTAAAATATTGCTTAAAATGTAATTCTGCTCGATGACCACCCTAATTTGACGACGCTGATTTCAAAAATATAATTAGTTTTTGACTACCGTGAAGCACCAGCCCTGAAATGGCCATTTAAAATTGTCCCCTGTCCAGTAGGGTGACGTCACGCAAATCGCGCAACCCGAGTTGGCGACGACGAGACGGCATTGAGAGTTCGCGACCTCAGTGCTTTCATGTTGCATCTCCGTTTTTAATAACAGTGAAATAGTGAAAGCAGTTCACAACAAAGAGTGAGCTTAAGAAGAAGTTACATTTTCACTGTTAAAAAATGGAGATACGACAAGAAAGCACTGTGGTCGTGAGTTGACAGCGAGACGCCCTTCCCACTTTTTCGGCGTAAGAAGAATGTAGTTTGGATTCCGATAAGCCGACAACGCCGATCTGAGTTTAAAGCCGCCTGCAGTCAGTCAGCTCTATGTGGGGCAAGTTGGAAATCATAAGGGAATTTTTATACCTATCGGCGCTTACTGAGTCGGTCTCCGAAATCGGCGTTCTCTATGTTTTCGCCCTTATGCAGGTGCGAGCCCCGTAAAACCCTCTACTAAACTAAACTAAAAACAAATCTAGAGTCAGCGGCATCTTCATGGCACGAGTTCAAATCCCAATGGGGAAGTCTAAAAATGAAGAGTGTCTAAAAAATGGAAGAAATACAGAGGGAAAGGGGTTAGTATTTTAATTACCCTGTCTTGTACGACTGTATTGAGTCTGCTAAACACAGGGCGCACCGCCTTGTTTTGTGGGTCCACTTTTATCAACAGGGCTGCATCTTTGAAAGCTTCTTCCACTTTTCCCACATTTTCATAAGCTTGGCATCTTCGGAACAGAGCTTTAGGATCATTTGGTGCTAGCTCAAGGGCTGAAAGATAAATAAAACAAAACAACATGCATATATATATATATATATATATATATATATATATATATATATATATATATATATATATATCATATACAGTCAAACCTGTGTAAGACGGCCACCTATTGTCAAGGAGAAAAGTGGCCCTATAAGACAGGTGGCAGTCTTAGGCAGGACTGATCAAGATGAAGAAAACAAACAATTCCCATCTGAAGTCTCAATCGAAAGTAGCCGCATTGTTCTTGTTTTTGTTGTTGTTGGTTTGTATTTTCTTTGTTATTTTTATTGTTATTTTCTTGCTGATTTTCCCCAAGAATGACAATAAAACGAAATGTATGAGATGAGGAAGACCGAGTGCCATGTTAAAACAAACACATGGGTCGCCACCACTCAGAGAACGAGCGACGCTTCTGTAACAAGTTCATGTTGACGTCCTTTGTTACTTACTGGGTAAACAGTGACCACTCATCTCACGTACGATTTGAGTATGAAGTTCTGGGCGGGGCTTATGGGTTATGAGGGATCACATGCTTACTTCACCAGCAGCTGAAAATTGGTACCTATTGGTCAACAGTGGGAGGGGCCTACAAACATGATAGGTTGGAGGGACTACCTAACAACAACGACATGTGTGATTGAATTATGATGGCTCCCCCACAACACCAGGGGCCAGCGCACAGTTTATGATAAAACGTAATGGAGTCAATAAGTTGGCCGTCTAAGACAGGTGTTATTGCTTAGTGTGATATGGGTTGTGTGTTAAAATATGGTGGCTGCGGTCGCGTTGGACAGGTGCCCGTTTTACACAGTTAAATTATATAGAAAAAACGCAAGGGGGGAAATGGAAAGTGGCCGTTTGTACAGGTGGCCGTTAGTACAGGTGGCCGTCTTATAGAGGTGGCTGTCAGGGCAGGTTTGACTGTATATCAATCCCCTTCCTATATCTACAGCCAGAAAGAGAGGAACAGGTCAGAGGTGAAATCTCCTAAAGTATATTAAACAGACAAAATATTTAATTAATTTCCCAATCTTAACTGTTTTGTTGTTTTTATCTTAAAAAGAAAAATCCAATAAAAGAGCATGTAATATTGATCTGGAGACCATGACCATTAAAATATATGAGAGCAAAACTGAGAAAATGGCAAGGAACAAGCGTACTTAAAGGGCCTACTTACGGGACAACATTTTTAACTAAAGAAAAACTGAACAAACTGAAACAACTTTTGTCACAGGCACTAAGCATGAGAAAAAAGATTTATGTTCAACTGCTGACACACTCGATTACGATTACGTAAGCCACTGCCATGGAAACAGCGGCCATCTTGAAAATTGGATAGAATTTTTTTTTCTCCACCATTTCTGCAGTTTTAAACTTTTTAAAATTCTGTAACTTGAAAAAAGTCACAAATAAATAGGTGCTTGCAGCTAGCTATTTTGATTTCTCACACTATACTTAGAAAGTATCCAAAATTGTTCTCACAGTTGGGGATATGGAATTTGATCTTTAAAAAATATTTTTGGCATTAAAAAAAAAATGGTAAAAATAATTCTGAAGCAAAACGTAAAAAACTAACCAAACCCACTACAAGTACAAACCATTTTTCTAACTACATGCCAAGTTTCAAGTCTCTGTGACGGAAAATTTAAAAAGTGGAGACAAAAAAACCCCGGCATATATGCAAGCAAAGAGTGGTGAAAAAGTGTGTTTTGAGAAAGCTAGGCGAAACATCGAACATGTTAGTACACAACACAAAGCCAAAAAAAATTGAATACTGTTAATATTAAGCACTCAGCGACTAGTGTCAATATAATCTAGACTGAATGAGGGATCGGAAAATACCAAAAGTAAAAAGTGCTCAGAGTGAGTGAAAATCAGTCCCCCGAGGCCCACGACCTGACCAGCACGCCCCCCTTAACTGAAAAAGCATAATCATCAATAGTGTCAGGTCCTGGCTTTTCAGCAGACAAGAAAAAGATTAATATCTTGTTCTGTAAGAACTTTGGAATACACCATTTAAAAGATTTGGACACAAATTATACCCTAATCCAGAATACTCTTGCCAAATAACTAAATATTACAAGGAAGGAGGATAAAAATTTGAAAACCAATAAATACACAGAAGAGAAGAAACAAAATCACAATGCTGTTACCATAATTAAAAGTAAAAGTGAGTACTTACATGATGAGGCATCATCAATAGCTTCCTGGTTTTTGCCTAGCTTTAGAAAGCATGCAGCCTTATTTTTATACACCACAGCCTTCTCAAGATCTTTCATGTTTCCAGTGTCCAGGGCTTCTTTGTAGCAAGAAAGAGCATCCTCATATCGACTGGCCTTGAAGTGTTCGTTCCCTTGTTCTCGCAAACTACTTGGTTCTGTCATGATGACGGTCCTATAAATAAATAGTATTTTAACACAATTATGAAAATTGTTTTAAAATCCCTGTCGGGAATACTGAAAAACAGTTGTGGCACCAAATGAATAGGGGGAAACAAAGGCAGAACAACATGCTTGTGGAATGACGAAACCAGAGAAGCAATTAAAATAAAAAAGAAGATAATATTCAAGAAATGGCAAATGTCAAAGACCGAATAGGACTATATAGAATACAGAAAAGCGAGACGAGCGACCAGAAGAATCATCAAAACTGCTAAAGAAAATGCATGGAAAATATATGGGGAGAAACTAACCAAAATCTGAAAGGAAAACCCTAGAGAGTTTTATAAAAGTGTGAACAGCATGCAGGTAAGGAAAGACCTATACAACCCGACATGAATTATAAACGATAAAGAGGGTAATTTTAATGCCATTCTCAGCAAGCATGCCATCAAGAAGAGATGGGAAAATTACTTCCAAGAACTAATCAACCCAGACGCTTGCCACAGACAACAAAAAGAGTTCCAACCATCATATGGAGAACAAACAGAACCACCCATACTTCTCCGTGAAATCGAAAAGGCACTCAAAACCTGTCCCAAGAACAAAGCCCCACGACCAGATGACATCACAGTGGAAACCATAAGAGCTTCAGGAAACACCGGTGGACTGTGGCTGAGGTGAATTTTCAATAGAGCCTGGGAGCAAAGGAAATGCCCAGATGACTGACATGAAGCCATAGTGGTACCATTATTGAAAAAGAAAGGCAACAAACGCGACTGCATAACACACAGAGGTATCTCTCTATTAAATCACTCAGGGAAAATATACGCAAAGAACAGCGGACCTATTGTAGAGAGAAATCTGATCAAAGCTCAGTTTGGATTTCCAGAAGAAAAGAGGATGCACGGATGCTGTATTCGCATTAAGACAGATATGCAAGAAAACAATCAAACACAACAAAGAATTCAACATTGTCTTTACAGACCAGGAGAAGACTTTTGACAGACTACACCATGCAAAACTCTGGAAGCCACTCCAAAAGTATGGTGTCAGAAGACAAATGTTATATAATGTCCGACCTCTATACACCAGCAGCAGAAGCTCAGTGACAACGAAGTAAGGCAATATAGACTAGTTCAGAGTAAGATCTAGAGTACGACAGGGATGCGTTCTATCTCACCTCCTGTGTTTATAATACAGTAGTCTCCGTCTAAGATCCCACCGCTTACGATCCCGGTTCGCTTAAGATCCCGCTGTTTTAAGAAAACAGAATTTTTACTATACAAAAGTCACCCCTAAGATCCCGCTCTGATTCACTCTGAAGGTCTAGATTCGGCTAAGATCCCGCATTTCAGATCATCATTTCCGGAACAAAAACCCGGGCGGGACAGCCGATCAACCAAGAGTGAAAAGTTGAAATCAATAAACTGTCCGTCGCGTTAAAGATCAGCCACTGTCGTGAATGTGATCACATAATACATGTTGTAAAACTCGATAAGCGAAACAATGTTTGCCCCAGAGGGGATCACACCGGGGTGTGAACTGACCGACACGTTTGTTTTCCCTAAACATAGTACTCACACTTGAGCTCTCCCCCTAAACTTACATCACTCGCTGGGCGGGTAGGGCCTACACGTTCGCTCCAGGCGGGATCACATCGAACTGTGAACTCTTCCCTGACAATTGCAGAAGTTGTCTCTGCTCCCGAATTTGCGAGACAGACTGAATTTTAATTGGTGTGTTCACAACGTAATTGTGGGTAACGACAAAGGCAGTTGGGGGTGATCGTCAGAGATGGAAAGCTATACATTTTCGACAGGTAAGGGGGAGGGGCAACTGGATAAGCGTATAATTTGAGACTCATGATAGGATAATAAGTGAAAATGGCACGTCTCATCCCACTATGCACTGTGATAGGTCATCAAGGTTAACCACTCTTTGCTCGCCTTACGTCATAAACCTACCAAGCGGTCACGTCGGTTCATTTTAGAGTGGAGGGATACCATTTTATCGATTGTGAGCCTTAGCATCCAGGCAAAGTGGATATCAACATCAATGGATCCCAACTAAAACAAAGCAGAGAATTCAAATACTTGGGCAGCATTTTCACAGAAAATGGAAAATTAGATCGAGAAATAGAGACTAGATGCCAGAGAGCCAAAGCAGTCAGCTACCAACTCGGCCCTCTCCTGAAACATCCCAATATCCCCATGAGCACCAAGGCGAAGCTCATCAACGCCCTTTTCCTTCCAATGCT